CGCGAGAAGTGGACGAGGGCTATCTACTCATGGACGGGGCAGGCTAAAAAAGTTAGTCCGACTACGACTGGGAACACTCAACATCGGAACATTGACAGGGAGAAGTCGAGAATTGTCAGCTGCCCTAAAGGCCCGTCGTATCGACATCGTATGCATCCAAGAAACGAAGTGGAGTGGAGCAAAGGCCAGGGAGATTGGAGAAGGATACAAACTGTTCTACAACGAATTAAGAAGATGTTCTACAACGGTGAAAGAAACACCAAGAACGGCGTTGGAATCGCAGTCAGCCAAAATCTACGAGACAACGTCGTGGCCGTCCACCGTGTTTCCGATCGCCTCATGTCCATCGAAATCAACTCAAACGACCAAGGCCTCCGGGTGGTATCTTGTTATGCGCCGCAGTCTGGCTGCCCAGCAGATACCAAGGAGGAATTTTGGGAACAATTTGATGGACACATGCAATCGATAAACGGAGAAGAGCAGTTAGTAATTGGTGGAGACCTAAATGGACACGTTGGAAACGCCCGGGATGGATACCCTCGAAACCATGGTGGCCAAGGATTCGGTACCCGGAACGATGAGGGAAACCGAGCCTTGGACTTTGCGGAAGCCCATGATCTTGTCCTCGCCAACACCTTCTTCAAGAAGAGACCGTCCCATCTCATTACGTACGCCAGTGGTGGGAGATCAACTCAAATTGATTACTGGCTTGTCAAGCGGGATAAGCTGAAAACGGTGACAAACACTAAAGTCATACCATCGGACAACATCGCCCCACAACATCGCATCCTGGTCATGGACATGAAAATGGACATTGGCCAGCGACATCGCCCACCAACAACGGGACAGCAGCGAATTAAGTGGTGTCGGATGAAGGAATGCAAGGATCAGCTGAGAGTCGCCCTCAATTAGATTGACGTGAACACCAACCGACCAGCGAATGCGATTTGGGAAGATCTCGCCAGCGAACTGTGCACAGCAGCAACGGAAGCAATGGGGCTAACTAAGCCGGGAAAACGCTTCATTGACAAGCAAATATGGTGGTGGAACGAAGAAGTGCAGCTAGCAGTGAAAGAGAAGAAGCTAGCTTTCAAGAAGTGGCGCCAAACGCTCGCAGATCTGGATTACCAACACTACAGAAACTGCAAATCGGCAGCGAAGCGAGTAGTAGCAGCGGTGAAATTAGCTCAATACGACCAACTGTATGTCGAACTGGACACCCCAGAAGGTGCCAATAAGATCTATCGACTGGCAGAGGCGCGCCATCGTTCGACTCAGGATATTGGTCAGGTTAAATGCATAAAGGATGAGAATCACAGCGCTCTCAGAGACCCATCCGCCATCCTTCAACGCTGGAGCGACTACTTCTCTGGAATCTGCAACCAGGAATTTCCCCACCCACCGAATATTAGCGCTGAACACGTCCTCGGTCCCGTTTTGCCTATCACCATTATCGAAGTGGAACAAGCTATCAAGAGAATGAAGAATGGGAAAGCGACTGGCCCGGACGATATCCCTGCTGAGGCCTGAAGATCCTTGGCAGGCAGGGTGCTGCCCTCCTTACCCAGCTCTTCAGCACCATCACGAGCACCGGTGAGGTCCCAAAAGCCTGGTCGACCAGCACGACGGTTCCAATTTGGAAGGGTAAAGGGGACGTGGCAGAATGCTCGAATTACAGGCCAATCCGGCTCCTGTGTCATGCGATGAAGATCTTTGAGCGAGTTTTGGACACGAGGATTAGAAACATCATCACCCTATCACCCAACCAATGCGGCTTCGTCATAGGATGTGGCACTACGGACGCCATATTCGCGGCGAGGCTCCTGCTGGAGAGGCACAGATAGAAGAACAAAGCTGTGCACGTGTCGTTCCTAGACCTTGAAAAGGCATTTGACAGGGTCCTCCACGACCTCATCTGGCACTCGCTTCGATCCCATGGAGTTCCTGAAACCTACGTGCATTGGGTGCAACTCCTATACAAGAACGTCACCAGTGCAGTCAGGTGCGCAGTGAGCATATCACCGCCATTTCCCATCAGCGTTGGAGTGCACCAAGGATCGGCCCTGTCACCACTCCTGTTTATCCTGTGCATGGACAGGATCACTGCTGACCTGCACACGCCCCTGCACTGGTCAATTCTCTATGCGGATGACGTCCTACTCTCAGATGAAGAGAGAGGAGATTTGGAAAGACAAACGCGCCTGTGGAAGGAACATTTGGACGAAAACGGGATGAGGTTCAACATCATAAAGACGGAGTATATGGAGTGTGGCCCCAAAACCGACGGCACCATCAGCATTGACGGAGAAGATCTGAAGAAAGTGACCATCAGCTCAGATGGAAGCATCACGACTGATGTGAGGTCACGAGTCAATGCGGCATGGATGAAGTGGAGGCAAGTCACCGGAGTCCTCTGTGATCGGAAAATGCCGGATAGGCACTCTATGGATCCGAGTGCTGGCCAGCCACAACTGTACACGAACAAGCTCTCCACACCATGGAGATGAGGACGCTCAGATGGAGCCTTGGACTGACTCGATGGGATCGTGTCATGAACGAAGACGTTCGGAAGCGACTAGGTGTGGCCCCCATTGCGGACAAGATGCTTGAGGCATGGCTTCGGAGGTACGGCCATGTGATGCGAAGTGAAGAGTCATCAGTGGCCAAGACTGCCATGCGTATTGAGCCAGAGGGCCGCCGTCCACGCGGACGTCCGAAGAAGTGATGGATGATGGATCGAATAAAGGAGAAGACATGAAGACGGTCAACGCATCCCCTGAAGATGCCCTGGACCGAGCCAAATGGAGAAGACAATGCCGAAAAGCGGACCCTGTGCCACAGCGGGAACAACGCTAGGAAGAAGAAGGATACAATTGAACAAATATGCAAAAGCGAATTTACAACAGCTTCTATTAAGCACTGCTGAAAATGTGACGAGCATTTTTATACATGGTCTGATACGTGGATACATAAAATTATGATGTTCCACGATAACTTAATGCGGACAGTTGTTGTGTTGTCGAAGTCACGGTAAGTACACGTCACCTCGGGTGGGCCACTGAAGGAGTAGGAGTAGAGGATAGGCTGGATCATGATGAGGGACTGTGTGAGGTCCTGGCGCATGAAGTTGTGACGATAATAGGACGACTCATCAGGACTGTTGTTGAACACTTGCAGGAAGGGCGAGCGGCGCAGGTGGAACATGAACTGGGAGAGAGGGAACCAGGTTACACACCAAACATTTCCCATTTCATCGAAGCGTGTGTTGTTAATAAACACCGACTACGTATGTATGTAGAACTTATTTTCGCACTGTACGTGGCAAACCATGCTAAACGGAGGTACGACTAAGGCCAGCACAGCACATAAGGGGATAAGTATCGGCAACGCCATGCCCGGCGACACTCATCTTACCCACGATTGATATTTAAAAATCATACCAGGTACTCATTTAAGGATAAGCTGACCTGGGGATAGCCCAGAACAGGTTCAATAATTTTGCTTTTTTGGCCTTAATATAAATATTTAAAAGTTATCTTGTTTTAGAAATGTTCAATTACCCATGTTTTACTTTCCTCTTTTCACTTCAGATTGTAATTGGCACACTTCTGAAAGACAACTATTTATAAAACGACATAAGACAATGCTTGTGGAATACAGCAATGCTGTATAAAAGCCTATGGGCATAAGGTACAGTTTTCATCTATATTGTATAAATTGTATCTTCAAGGTAAACAATTCTTCAGAACATGCAGGGATCTTGTTTAAATTGGTGTATATTAATGACGTAATAAGTGCAGCTTTTTGCAAATACCTGTGGGTAAAGAGAGAATGTCTCTGAGAAGCGGAATGAGGTGGGGTCGTCCTTGTGATAGTCTCCAAACTTCTGGCACTGTTGGGACAATGAACACGATAACAGATTTTATTTATTCAAATATTTTAATACACGGCAAACAAACCTTGGTAAGTGATATATTTATTTGTGTTGGTTTCAATGCTGAATCTGAAATGCATTTTTCACCCAAGATTGAACACAATAAATACCTCATCAATGCCACTTCCTACTAATCGAGTTTAAAACCTTTCATATTTAAAATCCTGAACTCAATCAAAATTGATGGAATTGCGTTCAACCTTAAATATCTTTGTGGTATTGTCACAGATGCTTTTTAGGTTTATTATTATTGTATACCTCTGGGACCGATTAAATTAATACCACTTTGTAGACAATAGTGGTTCTCCCAATACAAATGTCAAATGTCCATCACCGGACTCACGGTGATCAGTGGAGATGAGAACCGCTCATTGCTCTTGTTTACCTAAGTGGCCATTGACTTTGGACTTTCTTCGTATCAACCATGAGTCAGTTATGAAATATAGTCAAGTTCAATTTGGGTCATCCCACACCCGAACCTCCGATTAGCACGGTTGACTACGTACGTTGCGAAAGAAGTCCAACATGCATATACATTTATCAATTGACTCACTAAAGACAAACAACAGCAGCAAGTACTAGCCTACATTAACCTTATGACCGCCAATAGGGGATTACTTTATCATTGTTCAGTCAAATCAGACCAATGTTGGAAAACACCCCGGTCCGTGCCACTCTACAGCTACGTGTTAAGTCAAGGGGTGCAGCAAGACCAAGTGGCTATAGGAAGCATACAGCTTGCTAGCCACGTCCACACCTGGCTGTGCCAGATCGAGATGGACACAGGTTTTCCTATTCCAAAGGCACAGGACTGCTGCGAGTGACGGGCTGGAACGGAGGCCGCTTCACAACCCTTTTGCCGGTCAAGCGCAACGGAGTTCGAATTTACCAATTTATTCACTATTACCTTTCTCCCACCAAAAGGAACACAATGACAAAAGGACAAATGCTCGCGTGTAGGGGCGGGGGGTGGTGTAAAACAAGGCGAACCAGGCGGATCAGCTGGCGGTCGAGCCAGCGCAGTACGTCGGGCCCTTCCTCTGTGTCGGCGCGGAACATGGCGAGGCGCGCCAGCAACACGGCCGCCGCCTCCTGGTCGAATGACGCTGCAATGTGCTGGATCTGGGTCTGAGCGTCCACCCAGCTGCACGCAGTAACACGGAGACAGCAGCAGGAATCATGGATGCGCAGTCAATTCCATCAAGGTAGTCGGTCAGTGCAGACACAAATGCGTTCACAAAGCACGCCGTGTCTGCATGAGGCTTATTCATAACAAACACTTTCCCAAATGAGTGCTATAAGCACAATTTAGATTATGTCAGTAGTCTAGCTCTCTGATGTGTATTCAAGGGCATTGTATACGTCTGAGGGGGACCAGGCAGCTCTTGCAAATGGTTGCAGCCTACAGATATGTGGTCAACATCTTCTAATTGGCTAAAGCAACCAAAGGGGAAGTTGCCAAGGTACGATTGGGTGCGCGATGTGCAACAAGGTGTCATGCGTGACAACATGAAGTTTGCAACAACTTTGCATGACAGAGTTGTGCAGGTGATACCAGGGTTGTGGCGAGGACAGACAGGTGCCAAGGGTAGATTTGAAGCTTTTGTGACTGCAAGGATTCATATTCTTGGGTTTTTTCAGTAAAGTCACGTAGGTAAAAAATTAAATTAATAAAAGTAAAATAAAAGTAAAATAAAATAAACAAAAACTGATCATTGCTACAACGCTGTGGGCTCTCATGAAATTGTCTTTTCCGAGACCAAGGTGCTCTGCAAACCTCCTGGCTACCATCAAAGGTTTGTACACGAAGCCATTCAAATATACAAACACAGACATAATTTCAACCGTGATGATGGGTATAAACTTAGTAATCATTGGAAAGATGTTATTAACCATACAAAAAAAAAGATTTAACTACACATATGAAGTACCGGTGAGGACGCTTGACGCCGAGGTTGAGGCACACGTATATTTATTTCACAATACAACAGTGGGCATATAACACTCGAGGGGGTATCGGCCCCCTCACCCGTATAACTCGGGATACACCCCTAGCTAACTCTGTCCTAGCCCCGAATCCTCCACTAATGGGCTAGGGGAGGCTAACTGGCCCGACACTGGTAAGTCGGGCCCGGTACCCGGAGTTCCAGACCAGCTCTTACAAGAGCACCGGCTCTGGCTTTCGGGACCACGCCGCTGGCTCAGTCCTGTCCGGCCCTGAAAAGGACATCGAACTAGGGGAGTCCAGGGCTCTATCTAAGACGTCTTCAGTCTTCTTCCCTTAGCTTAAACATAACTGACTCGAGCCCTTTGAACATCCCCTTTTATACCCAACCCCTCCCTGAGGGGTGGGGCCCCGGGGGATCATAACGTTCGAACCAGCCCCCCCCCAGGGTGTCTGACTCGGACGTCGTAGAGGGCACCTCCTCGTGCACTTACGTAGCCCCGCCCACTGTGTTTGTTTTCCATAGGCTGCCATGCATAACGGGCCCTCTCTTTAACACCCCTACATCACCCCCCCCCCCCCCCCCCCCCCGCATAGCTTGCAGCCGTCCCGGCTGCCAACATACAAAAATGACAATAAAAGTGCATTTACACCTTGACCGCACGTGTGCCTCACTATTTTTCAACAATAACAAGAACAGCAACAAGAACACAACAAAATGCAACAGCAAGAAGAGAAAACAACCCGACGCACCCCCCTTGAATAAATACGAATTCCGTAAAAAAACAACCTATATACAATTTGCAGGGAACCCACCATACACACCACACCAGGTGAACCCAACGTATGTACATTTCAATGGGCAGGGAACACACCACCCACACAACACACAATGAACCCAACATATGTACATTCAATGGGCAGGGAACACACCACCCACACAACACACGATGAACACAACCTATGTACACATCTTCCGGCCTCATAACAGTCTGCGCATTTTTGCGCGCGTCCTTGCCGCGGGCCCCTCACACGGGGTAACCCCGGGTGGCGGACCGTCAGGTGGCAATTGTCCGTCCCGGAGTGAGTCCTCATCCGATGCCGCGTGACCGTCGGTATCCCCAGGAGGGGTGGTCGGGCGTGAGCCCGTCAGTCCTGATGCACCTGGAGGTGGCACGGCCGGCAAGGCATTAGGTGAGAACGACGTTTGGCCACGCATGTGTGAAGTGGGTTTGTGTACCGCAACGAAGGGTTTTAACCTAGAGGGGTGCACGAACCATCGCCGCTTCCCCCATTTAATGCGCACGCACTGTGGTCGCAAAACTTCGACCACCTCCACAGGGCCCCGCCACGGCCGCACGAGCTTAGAGGAGGTTGCCAGTGGCACTTGGGGACAGTGCAGCCATGCCTTGTCCCCCGGCTTCCACTGTATCATGTGCGCCCGACCCAGCCTGAGGCGCTCATTCGCCTTTTGACGGAGGTCCGAGTTAAGCATTGCAGCATTCCGCGCCTCTGTTAATTTGGCCAGATTAAATTTGACGTGGTCAGCCAATTTAGTTTTCCCTTGCGGCTCGGGGATCTGCAGCTGGGCGCGAACAGGCGGGTCGGGTTCGCGACCGTAAATGAGGTAAAAGGGGGAAAATCCTGTAGCTGCATGGGGTGCCATCCGGTATGCCGCCAAGACCCCTTGAATATGCAGGTCCCAGTCAGTCTGTGAGTCCGAGACCTGCTGTGACATCATTGACGTAATGGTGCGATGCAGGCGCTCGACCATCCCGTCAGTTTGCGGGTGGTACGGGGAGGTACGAATTTTCTTCGTGCCTAGAAGGTCACAGACTTGTTTGAGTAATTTACCGGAAAAATTTCTGCCCTGGTCGGTCAGCAGCCGCTCCGGAGCACCTTTGTCCAGGACGTATCCCTGAACAAAGGCCTCCACGATGGCTGCTGCCGACTGGTTGGCAAGGGGCCAGGCCATAGGCCAGCGTGTAAAATACTCGACACCAGTCAACAAATACCTATTGCCCCTGGGGGTGGCGGGAAATGGGCCCAAAATATCCAGCGCGACAAGCTCATTTATTCTGGACACTTTGATCGATTGCAAGGGCGGGTTAGACTCCCGCGCCGGCGGTTTCCGTTGCGCACACCGAGGGCATGATCCCAATAGATCCCCAACATCCCTCGTCATGCCAGGCCAAAAAAAATCAAGTTGTAGCAGTGCAAGAGTCTTTTGGGTCCCCAGGTGTAATAGGCGCTCATGCGCGGCCCACACCACCTTGCCTCGCAACCCAGAAGGGACCACCAGCCGATGTCGCTGGGATTTCCCGTCCCAATGCATCAGCAGACCTTGCACCATTTCCCATGCATCCGAATCACCCTTCACACGCCCAGCACCCCCGACGCGACGACGCCACCCGAGGAGGGAGGTATCCTCCATCTGGAGGCGCCCCCATTCAGTGACGGGCAACCCCAACAGGGAATCTCTTCCCTGTTGTTCGATCGAATTAGTAATTAAAGTTTCGTCGTCGTCGGTGGCTGCCAAGACCGGAACCGATGCGTCCCCTGAAGGCCTGCAACGTCCCGACCCCAGGAGGCATGCACATTCCGAGGTGGTTGGCATGCGCGACAGAGCGTCCGCATTCGTATGGCGAACGCCCTTACGGTAGGTGGTTTCAAAATCAAAGTCCTGGAGAACCTCCAACCATCGAGACAACTGTCCCGATGGTTGTTGAACTCGCAGGGCATACTGTAGTGCCGCATGATCTGTGCGGACGGTGAAATGCCGACCGTACAGATATGGGCGATACTGTTGGATGAAATAGACAATTGCCAACAGTTCCCTACGGGTGACACAATATCTTTGCTCCGCAGGAGACAACACCCGACTACCGTACGCGACCACCCGTTCCACGCCATCAACCACCTGGGAAAGCACACCCCCAATACCCGTGTTGCTCGCATCGGTGTCGAGCAAAAAGGGCTTAGAAAAATCGGGGTAAACCAAAGGAGGGGCTTTTACCAGGGCGTCCCGAAGGGAGCAGAAAGCAGCCTCCTCCTCTTGACCCCAGTGGAACCGAACCCCTTTAGATGTTAAAGCGTGCAGGGGTTTGGCAATTGTCGCAAAATCAGCGACGAACCGTCGGTAATACGACGCGAATCCAATGAAACTCCTGACCTCTCCCACCGAGGTGGGAGTCGGCCAGGAGCTGACACACTGCGTTTTGGCGGGATCGGTAGCAATACCTGAGCGTCCCACGATGTGCCCCAAATAACGCACCGAATCGCGCAACAAATGGCATTTTTGGGGTTTGAATTTCAAATTAGCAGCCCGCATCTTTAGGAAAACCGCCCGCAACCTCTGGAGATGTTCGTCAAAAGTTACCAAAGACGATAACGTCATCCAAATAAATGAGGCACGACTCCCATTGCAATCCAGCCAAAACCAATTCCATCAAACGCTGGAAAGTTGCCGGCGCTGAGTGTAAGCCCATCGGCAACCGGTTGAATTGGAACAGGCCGTGCGGTGTACGGAAAGCAGTTTTAGGCTTTGAATCATCGTCCAGAGGAAGCTGCCAGAATCCCGAAAGTAAATCGAGTGTGGAAAAGAATCGCGCTCCCGCCAAGGCGTCCAGCGATTCATCCATCCGAGGGAGCAGGTATGCGTCGGCAACCGAAATTTTGTTAAGGCGCCGAAAATCAACGCAAAACCGCAACGAACCGTCCTGCTTTTTAACCAGGACGATCGGCGCTCCCCAAGGGCTGGTGGAAGGAGAAATGATGTCGGCGGCCAACATGTCATCAATAGCCGATTTGACATGGTCCTTTTCGGCGGGACTCAACCGAAACGGATTTTGGCGAATTGGCGCGCTGTCACCCGTGTCAATATGGTGACGCAGCAGGTGAGTACAACCCAAATCGTATTTATTCCGACTAAAAACGTCGGAAAATTCCCGCAGTAGTGTTTTAAGTTGTTGACGCTCTGAATCTGACAGGTCCGTCGATCCCGCACAAAGCGCCTCGAGCCACCCTTCATCGCTGTCCGAATGCGGTCGCGGCGCAGGGACAACGCTGACGTGATTAGCGACGGTTTCCTCACATGGCACCGGCGTTGCGTGAGCAAGCACGGTTCCCTGTGGGACCACCACCGTCTGCGAGCCCACATTGAGGACCGCGATGAAGGGTTCACCGTCCCCTCTTACTATGGTCTGGGCCGGGAGTAAATGAGGTCCACTAACCCCGGCCCTAGACGGCCCCAGCAGAACCCCTTGGGCCGCAATACCATTAGCGAAGAGTCGCCGAAGTTTCAAGGGAATCAACATTTGTGCCCCCGGAGGGACGCGCACCGTTCTCTCTACGAATGCCGGCACCGTCGCGAACGCCGTCCGAGTCGTAACGGGTGATGGCAGAAACGCCATGCGTCTGCCCTACGGGAGCTCAATGCATCCCTGGTCGATTAATATCCTAATCAGCATTTTGGCCAGGAAGTCCGTCCCCAGCAGGCACGGAACCGCCAGCGAGGAGGAAACAAAAATCGGCCCAGACAATTTAATTTCCCCAACACAAATTTGGGCCCGAATTTGTCCGATGATGCCAAGTGAGCCCCCGTTAGCCGCATAGAATGGTACGTTAACAGGCATCAAAGGACGGCTCTGGACAGGGAGAATATTGTATATTAACTCCGAAATAATGGTCGCCGATGCTCCCGTATCGACCAGGATGCGCACTTCAACCCCGTCGATGTGCCCCACAACGGCCGACGACCCCGACGATGCGGCTACCACACGATCGGCCAGCACGGACCACTGGCCGGGTTCGATATGAGTACCCAAAGTGGTGCGTGATGGTGCGATGGTGCGCGATATCGGCCCCCCTCTCGTTGCGGTGTTTGAGTGCGTGACGGGCGTGTGCGTGGGCCAAACATGTGGGGTGCCGCGACTCGCCGGGTTATGATGGTGGAGCTTGTGATGAGGCCCGTCGTCCCGTTGAGGTGTCGTCCCGCGCTGACGAGGAGAGCGGCACCCCGAGGCGACGTGGCCCCGGACGCCGCAGTTAAAACACCGCGGGAGCGCCGTCGGAGGTGACGGATGGTCGGAACGGCCCGACCCGTCCCGGCCCGACCGTGCTCCCGTCGCCTGTTGCCGTCGGTGGTCGACGGCGTAGAGCTCCTCCGTCGGAAGGGTGGCTGCAGCCACCGCACACCCCGCCGATGCCCTGCTGGCTTTCCGCCGGAGCGACAGGAGGTTGGCGTGTAGGAACCTTGCCGCCTGGAGCGATGTCATCTCCGCGTCCTCCTGTGCGACGACAGCGATGTCAAGGTCGTCTGCCAGGAGGAGGATTTTCTCCGTGACCATAGCGTCCACGCCGTCGTCGTCCATACGAGGGAAGGCCGACTTAGCCATCGCCAGGAGGCTCGTCCGGTATGCTAGGGGCGACTCCTCACCCCGCTTGCGGTCGTAAAATTGCTGTCGGCATTCGGCTGATGGTCCATAGACCCCGCCCAGCAGCTGTAGCGCCATCGGTAACGTAGACCGCTTCTCTCTCGCCGCCGATGTGAGTGCGGCGAGCGCGTCGCCAGTCGAGGAGCGCCGGCAGCGCGCAGAGAGCCTCCTCATCGGACCATTTCGCCATCTCCTGATGGGCGAGGAAACGTCGGCGAAACCCGGCCCAGTCTCCCTCCGCGCCGATGAACTCCTTCAGCGGGGGCAGTCTCTGATGAAGCGCAGCGGTTGTTGTAGACTCCCGCAGGCTGATGTCACCACCACTCGGCTGTGCGTCGGTGCGAACGGCCGATGGGATCGCCTGTCGCGGTTGTGATGACGCACCCTCCGGCGGTGATGACGCTGCAGCTCCAGCGACGGCGATGTCGGAGCGGATGTTCAGGCTGGCCACGCCCTGAACAGCTGTAGCGTCGATGGCGGGAATTTCAAATTCGGACTGCTCCGAAATGGCGGGAAGGCGCCCTGGTCGTTGGCTCGCCTCGCCCCGTGTTGGATCACCGGCCCCCAATCGCGTGATGGTCTCCAGCGTGGCGGCAGCGGCATACAGCAGCTCCGCCAGCCTCCCGTGAGCCAGCCGTAACGCGTCTGGCTGCGGCCCCTCTTCATTTCGATGCCCCGGTAAGGAGGCGTCAGGCCCCGGCTGCACCATGTCTTGTGGAGCCGTCTCGGGCTCGACGATCTCAGCAGTGTCTTCCTCCTGCGGTACTTTGGCCCGCGCTGTTTTCCGCGTGTCCATGTTCGAATTACTTCTGACACCAGTTGAAGTACCGGTGAGGACGCTTGACGCCGAGGTTGAGGCACACGTATATTTATTTCACAATACAACAGTGGGCATATAACACTCGAGGGGGTATCGGCCCCCTCACCCGTATAACTCGGGATACACCCCTAGCTAACTCTGTCCTAGCCCCGAATCCTCCACTAATGGGCTAGGGGAGGCTAACTGGCCCGACACTGGTAAGTCGGGCCCGGTACCCGGAGTTCCAGACCAGCTCTTACAAGAGCACCGGCTCTGGCTTTCGGGACTACGCCGCTGGCTCAGTCCTGTCCGGCCCTGAAAAGGACATCGAACTAGGGGAGTCCAGGGCTCTATCTAAGACGTCTTCAGTCTTCTTCCCTTAGCTTAAACATAACTGACTCGAGCCCTTTGAACATCCCCTTTTATACCCAACCCCTCCCTGAGGGGTGGGGCCCCGGGGGATCATAACGTTCGAACCAGCCCCCCCCAGGGTGTCTGGCTCGGACGTCGTAGAGGGCACCTCCTCGTGCACTTACGTAGCCCCGCCCACTGTGTTTGTTTTCCATAGGCTGCCATGCATAACGGGCCCTCTCTTTAACACCCCTACACATATTTGGACCATCTTATTTGACAGGCGCTATTCTACCGGTTACCGTATAGTTTCTTCTTTCTTTTTTCACACATTGGTTTTCCTACTTTAAGTTTTACCACACATATTTAGCAAATCTAGAATTAATCCCAGCAACTTAACAAAGTGCTGTTTCATCTACATAACAAAGGCTCAGTCCCATTCACAGCAGCCGCACCTTTACAACTCTTAGAACCTCCCAGTTCAACCATTCTACACAACAAAGACTCATTCCTGGCAGCGGTTTCAGCCGCACCACCTCTACATAACAAAAGGCTCAGTCCCATTTACACGCACCTTTACATCAGCCGCACATAGTTTACACAACAAAGGCTCATTCCTAACAGCGTGCTTCAGCCGCACCGAACCTCACAAAAATATTATTCAGGGCCTACCTTGGCTCCTCCCACCCTCAACCAGTATATATACAAGGACTGTTTTCTTGGAATTTCTCTTACTTGATACAGCTATCGTGCTGTGACGGTTCCACCTGAAGACGGTAGCTTGTGTTGCCTCCGAAACGTCGTGATTTGTATTTTATTTTTATTTGACTTTAATTAATTTGAATTTTTTACCTACGTGACTTTTCCGAAAAAACCCCAAGAATAAGGTGCCAAGGGTGACAACAAGGCTCTGTGCGTGGTAGGGTATAAATAATGGAGTGGGGGCATACTGGAAAAGGGGTTTCCTGAGCAACTGGAGGGTGCAGTATAAAATATCACGTGTGGAATGATGCACGGAACTTACTTCCGGGCGATGGTGGTGACGCGGATGCGTCGCTGGCCACCTGAATGCTGGTACTGAGTCACAAATTGCACAGCCCCCCGGCCACCCTGTGGAATCGGGGCGTTGTGCTGTGGCAAGAAACACACACACACACATGCGCTGCAATACCAATATAAATAAAAACACGTAAAAAGCATTATTATGTTATGTTTAATGTATGAGACGTAGTTAAAAAGCTTTACGAATGGTGGTAATGGAAACTAGCACACATACTTTTTTTACTGCATTTCTCACTGTAAAAAGTGACCATTACCAAGATGACGGATTGGGTTCAACTCGTGTGCACAAGCGAGATGGTTTGTGGCATCATGGGACCGTGTGGAATGCCAATGCTTGGGAAGCAGTGGATAGAACATGGCTGATGATAAAATAAAGGATTTCACTGGAGCTGGTGTAAAAGAAAAATGCGTATTTACTCACCTGATTGACAACCTCAAAATAAAGTGCCAAGGTGGTATTAGGGTCCAGGCCACACACCTTCCACTGGCTAGTGCCGCCAACCCCAATTTCCTGAAAAAAATTCACAATTAATTGACCACAACGATACGTCTACATTTTGGACTGTTATGTTTCTATACTCTTTGGGTCTTTCGGTAAAAGTCACGTAGATAGCAAAAATAATCAAATAAAAAAAATCGCGACGTTTTGATCGCAACACAAGCAACCGTCTTCAGGTGAAAAAATACAGCAGGCGGACTGCTGAGGCAGGAAGAAATATAGCGAGAGAGCTACTGCAGCCGAAGGTGAAATGTTTGAGATGGGTACAAACCAAGGGTAAGTGGGCAGGGCTAGAGATGGAATTTGCAAGTAAATGTAAGATCGCAGAGCTAGGTATACCTCGGCTAATCATGTCTGCATTAGCCACGATGTTTCTATTTGCTCATACCATATATATTTAAGTATTTTTTGTTTTAAGAAAACATTTATATTGTCATAACTGCAAATTTTCAAAAAGTGTTTCATATAAACTATTAAAATACACAGTCACCATCAGTGCTGAGCTATTTTGTTCAAATAATAAACATAAAGAAACAAATAGGAATATCACTGGACACGCAAGTGGCCAAAATGGGACTTAGACATCTTTCCCAAACAAGCAAATACATGTTTTTAAATCTGGGTCTGTCACAAGATATGATGCTATTTAAATTAATTAATTTCTGCCAATAGCTAAAACACAATATAGGGTAACTTAAATGTTTTTATCACAAGGCATTTATTACTTAGGAAATTACAATGGCTGATGATATGACAATTAAGAGCAAAACACATACGTTTTCAGACACACTGGGACCCTTGGCATTGAGAGAAATGCATGGTCCGATTGCTCCTGAAATCTTCAGCTCCCGTGATGTCTGTACAGTTAAACAACACAGCAATTGGGTAGCAATTCCCAAAAGTGATCAGAGAGAAAGAAAAACTCTACAGTGCTATCGTTTTCATGTAAAATATCATGAAGCTGCTCCACCTGAATGCCATCATTTGGGCTATTACGAGAAGTTTAAACTCAATGACATGTAATGTGTATCATTTTTCAAGCAGATTTGGAGTATTTTGAGAGAAAAAAATAACTCGTGAAAACTGACTCTGGTTGACCGTTCCCAATTTGGATATCTAAAGCCGGTATTTAAATTGTGTTGTTTCCAAAAATTAACACAATGTGATTTGATTAATAAGATTGTCATTTTCTATTTATTATTCATGTCTAATTCCAAAAAAACCCCTCACGTTTCACCTTGATAAAACAGACAGATTTTGAATTTCATTCTCTATGAAATTTCAGACAAGATGGGAAATTTTCATGTGTCAATGCACTCCACAATTCCTTCCAGTCCTAATCATGACTGCCTGCATTTCAACATATCAACAAGCTTAACCCACAAATAACAGATCAAATTAAGCATTTTTTTTATCTCCCTCGATATCCAGAGAATTTGGTTCAAAACACACAAGTTACACACTGATACACACATTATTACCTTATGACTATACAAATCATGGAATACCAAGTCATGCTGCCGCCGCAACCCTCACCAGACCAAGCGAATTGAGAAACAAACGAATCACCAAGTCAAAAACTTTTTTAAATGTTCTTTGGGTCTTTCGGTAAAGTCACGTAGCACAATTTTCTTTTTACAAAAAACTACGTTTGGATCGCAACACAAGCAATCGTCATCAGGATAATTGTTTTTAAAATACTGTAAAGTATGAGATTTGTAGCAAATTGCACCAGGGAAATCTGAGGTGGTGGTGAATATAAACCAAACAATGCTTTATTTGATCAGATAACGCCCACTGAGCAATATAGCTCTTTTTCAGAAGTGACCTGGCCAAAAATGATAGCCCAAGCAAAGTAGCTCATCATGTGGAAATTATATCATCTAAATACTGTTTCTAAATGTGGAGCGAAAAACTGGTGGACCTGGAGAAAAATCCACGCGACTACAGGGACATAAAAATGCAAACTCCAAAATATACAGTCGTCTGGGTCTGGATCGAATGCACAGCCTCCTGCATACCAGGCGAGGTAGTTAACATCTCGTCACTGTGACACCCCGCATAGCCCCACAAAACATGGTGAATGTCTAAACAAACCTTTGCTTCGATTGTGCTTGCAAATGCCATCTTGAACTGATCCTGGTTGTCCTTGCCAAAGACTCGCTGGAATGTCTGCTTGAACAGTGACGTGTTGAAGGAGTCTCCCATCACAATGTAACCACTGCGCACACATGGCATGCACATCTACATATGATCACTGTCGATTTTTTAAGCAAAACTCTCCAGTAAACTTTTCACTAAATGCTTAAGAGCAGACATACCAAGCTTCTAAATTTCACTAAAATATTTTTGTTTTACCAGGTAAGGCCAACAGAGCTCTTTTTCATAAATGACCTGGCAAAAAGTGATAGCTCAACTAAGTGCCTTATCACATGGACATTTATATCAGCCAAATACTCTAACGCATGTTTCTAAATGTGGAGGGAAAAACCGGAGGGCGCAGAGAAAAATCCACGCAACGAGGGGGAGAGAGACATACAAATTCCAAATATACATGCGTCAAGGGTCGGGATCGAACCTACGTCCTCCTGTATACCAGGCCAGGTAGTTAACATCTCGCCACCGCGTGATAACAGCATATTTAAAACACAAAACAAAGTGTTAATCGATTTAAACCTTAAATATAAATACAAATTTGTCGCCAAGTACATTCTAATAATTCAATTATGTATCAACATGTGCATCATGTACGTGTAAATAATGGTTGTAATATTTACACGTAGGCTTTCAGAAGTTTTTTGGATTAGATCGTGTAAATATAAATGTGTCGTTAAACCCGCCACAGCCAAATAGTAAGGTTTGCCAGGTAAACACAATATGGCAATTTGTTACTAGTGCAGCACATCGGTGTGTTGGAGAGCAAATGCACAACATTTACAATCTAAGGAACGAAACAGGAGGATTTATCCACAAATCTGGCTGTCGCCTGATGAAGCTAGTGGTAATTACTGGCGAAACATCATGCTCAGATTGTAAATGTTTTGAATTTGCTCTCCAACACACCAGTGTGCTGTATTTGTAACGAATTGGCACGTTCTGCTTACGTGACAAACCTTACTAGTTGGCTGTGTCGGGTGGTGGCGGGTTTAACGGCACATATTTATGCGATTTAACCCAAAAAACCTATATTATGTAAAATTACATTTGCAGTTTGCTGAAAATCAAGGACTAGGGAGGAAATGTTAGCATACCCAGTGAGATTGGCACAACATTTCATCTCCAGCAGGCCAGTTTGGTCCAAAGCACACGCGTAGATGTCCACTATGTGCCCATTGGCAGCTGTGCGACTTGCGAGTGCTTCGTAGTGCTGATAAAACATAGTAAAAAAATATATATACATTACTTAAAATATGATTACATCTTTCAACAATATATGTGAACTAATGCATAAATGAAAAATACGGCACCATTTCCCTTTGGGTCCTTTTCTTGATTTGTGAATTCCAACAAGACCAAGGCTAACAGAATCGTATGCAGTTCACAGCCAGTGACACCATAAATTAAGTACTATGGGCAATTGTAAATTGGTCAGTGTCACCATTGCTCATATGTTATAGGCAGTGCTCATCTCCATTGGTGGCCCTGGGTCAGTAGTGGATATTCAACATTTATACAATGGAGGCCTGTCTCCCAACATGTAAAATACTGAATTCCCCAAAATTTGTTGAAAATTAAACATTAATAAAAATGTCCAGTATAGTTTTTATGACATAGTCTGGGAGGAGGGAGCCGTTACGCAGTGGGTTTGTGCACTTGCGCTATGAACCCAGCGATTTCAGTTCAATTCTCAACCACCGCTAACATCATTGGCGAGTGATATCTAAACCAGTTCTGAGTACGTCTCTCTTCACCAATCCACAATGACCAGGGTGATGACAAATGGTAAAATAATCCCCAGGACTGACGTGGTGTGAGATGGACCTTCATCCAGCAATGGATTGATAAAGAGTTGCACATTGTCGCCTCCACCCATAGAATTATATTAGTCTTAAGTATTTCCCAACAGGCAGATGAAAGCATGTGTATGGTGTGGGTTAAGATGGTATTGGTAGGGAGGCTTAGGGTACCTTGGTGGCTTTCTTGACAAACTTGGCATTGTCTTTCTCTATGTCGTGCCATGAGCGAATGGGGACTTTGAGCTCCTCGCCCACCACCATACCAGGGCCCTGCGTGGGCGGCCCTCCCGTGAACAGCATGATGCGGGCACCCGTGTTGGGAAACGTACCCTAGAGGAAACATTGAGAAACAAACGGGAGCAGGGGATGGGGGGTATGGTTGGGGGGGGAGCAGTCGGGTAAAAAAAGTAGGGTAGACAGGTGCGAAAGACAAGGAATATATGAGTTAACCACCAGTAACGGACTGTTAGATAATCGGTAAGAAAGTAAGGAACTTTGAATGATGATTCACAACTGTAGTGTTTAGAAATCTGCAAAAAACGATTTAAAGTCACATTACCACAATTCTCTGTAATTTTAATGTTTAAGGTTGTTTTCTTAAGTATTTTTTCAACAACAATTAAGTTTTGGTTATTCATGGACTGATTAATCAGACTTGTGAAAAATAGAGGAAAATTAATAACAAGATAGAATTCCCCCCTTGTATGTGTGATGGTACTGTTATTAGCTGCTCATAACTCAATACTAAGTGACATTACTTCATCTAAAACAACCCACGAGACATGCTTCATCTTATTCTTTGGTTCTTTCGGTTATGTCACGTAGATAGAAAAATAAAAATAAAGTGAATAAAAATAATACAAATAAAATAGAAATAATAAAAAACTAAAAACCACTAATGTAGACTGTAGCCTGGTTCATCTTCTTGGTTCTTTCGGTAAAGTCACGTAGAAGGGAAGTAACAAAATAATAAAAATAAAACATAAAATAAAAAGTAATTATTATATTATTTTATTATATTATTATAATTTATTATGTTTTATTTTTATTATTTTATTACTTCCCTTCTACGTGACTTTACCAAAACAACCAAGAAGATGAATCCCTGCAGTCACGAAAGCTTTAAATCGAAATGTAGCCTGGTTCTTAACCTGGGTGAGTGTACTGGCAGTCGAGAATGTAGACCGTAGCCTGGTTTTTAAGCTGGTGAGCTTATTGGCAGTTTATGATGTAGACTGTAGCAATGGTTAGTAAACTGAGTGAGCGTACTGGCAGTCTATAATGTAGACTGTAGCCTGGTTCTTAACCTGAATAAAATAAAAACAATAAACCAAGACGTTTTGATCGCAACACAAGCGGTCGTCATCAGGAAAAGGGGGGTTAGCCTCTAAAGGCAAACTGTTTATAAAGGTTTAGAGATGGGTGTAGACCAAGTGTGTCAGCAGCATGGGCCGCCAGGCAATCATTGCACCTCGCTCCATACACCCACACTGCTGACGGTGGAGGTTGACAAGAAAACACAAATCAAGTCATGACCCAAAGTGGTTGATGACATCTTTCCAATGATTGCTGGGTTTGTAACCATCCTCTCGGTTGAAATTGTGTCTGTATATATGGATGGCTTTATGAATGAATCTTTGTTGATAGCCAGTAGGCTTGCAAAGTACCATCGTCTTAGAGAAATAAATTTCGTGTGAGCCAGCCGCATTAAAATGATTGGCCACGGCAGAAGTATTGGTCCTACCGTGTTTCAAATCTTCCTTATGCTCCCGAACACGGTCCGAGACATGTCGAATAGTTTCCCCAATGTAACTGCTGCCGCAGGCACAGCTTAGTTTGTAGACGCCGGGGTATTGCATGTCAGGGATCACATCCTTCACAGATGGGATCAGATCACGAATTTTACGTACTGTATTGCATCAAACCTGGATCTTGTGTTTGTTCATGATTTTGGAATACTTTTTGGTGACCCCTGCTATGTATGGCACGGTGATGGTTTTGATTGCGTCTTCAGATGGTTCTTTCCCAACGGTTGGGGTGATAGCTTTACGGATTGTGTAGTCTGAATATCCATTCATCTTGAGAGCTTGGTGTACGTGCTCTAGTTCACTGGCTAGGTGATGATGGTCGGAAATACATCGAGCTCTATGTAGCGTTTTGATGAGGAAATTCTGGCTATCAACAAAGATTCATTCATAAAGCTATCCATATATACAGACACAATTTCAACCGAGAGGATGGTTACAAACCCAGCAATCATTGGAAAGATGTCATCAACCACTTTGGGTCATGACTTGATTTGTGTTTTCTTGTCAACCTCCACCGTCAGCAGTGTGGGTGTATGGAGCTAGGTACAATGATTGCCTGGCGGCCCTTTGATTGTAGATCCACTGCGTTGTCGTTGCTTCCTTAGCTACCCCACCCATGCTGCTGACACACTTGGGCTAACCGCTCGGATAGCTACCGTCTTAGTGCTGCGTGGAAGCGAATCATCACATAATACATTATTTAAATGCATGCCTAAAAAAGGGCAGCGTACTTCAATAGGGATTACCGTTGGTAGGGCTATTTTAATAAACATTATAAACAGGAAGGACAAGTTCAAAGGGCTCGCATAACACACATGCATAATGTAAGTTGCCTCAGTAATCCCCCCCTAAAATTGTGCAAGAGTGGAGAAGGGTGGTCAACACATCTACGCCTCTATATAAGGAACGAAAAAGGAAGACTTCTCCACAAATCTGGCTGTCGCTTGATGAAGCTAGTTGTAATTACTGGCGAAACGTCGTACTCAGTTTGTAAATGTTATGGCTTGGCTCTCCAACACACCGGTGTGCTGTACTAGTGACGAATTGGCTTGTTCTGTTTACGTGACAACCCTTACTAGTTGGCTGTATCGGGTGGTGGCGGGTTTTAATGACACATTTATATATTTACGCGATCTAACCCAAAAAACCTCCATTATGGATATTGGTCGCGATAGCCTAGGTGTTAAATTGATATCGCTGATGACGACCACACTGCTGCTCATGATGATCACTATGATGCTGATCCTGTTTATGCTCAGTACTACAATAGCTGGCTGTCAATGCAATGTATTCTGGTTTCTTTCGACCCACAAAACACATAATGGGTCAAATATCCCAATGTTGGCCCTCCTAAAAAGGAATCCTTGAGACTAAGCAAGGCTCTTAGAAATAAATTACATTTTACACATACAAACATTAATCAAGTGATTTATTAAAATAGATGTTTTTAAATACAATAATTGTCTAGAATTAAGTAAAATTTATTTACGATCCATGCAAATTGCATTGAAGTTATACACACATGTTAGCATGCCAATATTTGCTAAAAATGCCAAAAAGAAATATATAAAAAAAGTAGAGAATTTTAATATTTTGCTTTTCTAAGCATGTGTTTACCGACGAAAAATACCCTGAAAGATGCGACGACGAATATCATAATGACGCAAATCAAAGCGATTTACAGGGTAGGTGGAGGCAAAGGCCGAAGCGAGGGATACGAGAGAGGACAGGATGATGCTGTCAACGACGTAAGTGTGGGGAGAGGCATATCAGGTAGTAGTAGCAGTGTTAATAATGTGACGACGTATTTTCAAAACGATGTAAAAGGGAGAGATGTATATTGGGGTATTACGGTCCCGGATTATACTGCGCATCTAATAATAATTTCCGACCAAATAAATATTTACCTGTGGGAATTATGTTTTCAAGAAAAAGACCAAATCATATTTACAATGGTCCTCTTTAAAACTCCTTTAATATATATTTGTTTTAACACTTTTAAATGTAAAAAAATAATCCTATTAATAAACATTTGCTTTAAAAATGTAGCTTTATCAATTTATATATTCAAAAGTGAAACATGTTCAGCCTTCATATACCACTAAGAAATCTAATGTTTTGGTTCTTTATTAAGTGTCTATTATATGGAAAACTCTGATGCATGTAAAAAACTTTAAATAAATTTGCAATTTGGTTGGAATGCATATACAGTACTTGTGCAGAAAAAGTTTGCACAGCTGTTCGTAATATGAATAAAATAGCATGAATATAAGACCATTACCATGCATAAACATTCCAACAATGGTCCCTCCATATTCGTATACTTACAGTTACATACTCTACAGAATTTTTTATGTACTTTATGTATTCATAACACTCATTGAAAATATTGCATTAGGCATCACCATTTTTTACCCCGAAATTAGCAGAAATTACAAGCATTGCTGTTCAAGACGAAACATGTAAGCGGATTTGATTTACGAATCTCGTTGCAGTAAAATGACAATGACTGCTTTTGTCCAAAATGTAATTTAACAGCATTATTTTTTAATGCCAAAATGTGGCCTTTGATCATTCATGAACTTGACAAAAATATAAATGTGGCGTATGAAATGCATTACAAAATACAACCACATATTTTTTACTGGAGAACTTTCAACTTCATTCAACAATTTAGGTAAATGACAGGGTAACTTTCAAAGAAAAAAGGTATTATAATGCGATTCCAGTCTTTGCTATGGATGCCAAAAAAAAAAAAACGAAAAGTGTGAAGATAAATCACTGTTCATTAGTCACTATTGTATTTGTTTGCTATATCCTATTAGATTGATCACATGGGTATTTTAGACCATTTAATACATTGCTTATTAAGAAATGTGATCGTATGTTTTCGGAGTGGTTTGGCTTTAAAACTACATAATGCTAAGGCTGCAATTAAGCTAAATCGTAGCATTTCATTTTGCACTGATTGTAAAACAATTAAAGTTACATGGTTTGCAGGAGAGGTTTTGTGAATTATTCAGGATGTAAAAATCATTCAACAATCGGCGCTAAAAGGGCAGACGAGGCGGTGGACACTGCTACAGTACTTACCGACTTTCCAAAATTTGGGATGCACATCTGAACAGGGATGTGATACAAAAACACAAGCAGCTCAAAACAACAAAGACACAGCAGGGCACTCAACAGAACAAAGCATCTCAAGCCAAACCAAGCAAAGAAATGTGAATTGCATGCACAGTAACTCTATGGAATTGATGCTGAAGCCTGAACACAAGTTAGGTAATGGTGGTGTAATTAAAACAGTGCAGTTAATATAGTGAAGCTAATAAGCAGAGCAATAAACACTTAATAACGTGTGCATAAATTATGGATATAAAAGCAGCTTGTTTTCTTTGGGACCTACATTGTTGGGTAAATTAATTACAACTGTGCATAGTTGGGATCTGAAAAATGAAATAATGTTTATGATTTAATGAGCAAGGAAAACAGCACATCTGTAGGTGAGCTACAGACAGGATACCAGTTATTTTAGTTACAGGTCAATCATGAAATTCACTTTACGAGATATAAGATATTGAAATCAAGTGATTTAATATGTATTAACATTTCACACAGCCACACCATGCTGTTAACCAAGCGAAACTCTAACCAGCTTGAATACATGGAATGCGTGTTATGAACAAAAATGCAGGTAATCTCTTTAGAATGTGTCCACGTCTGGCGTATTGAAAATACACGCAGGAAGCAAAAACAAAATGGTCAGTAATGTGAGAGGAAATTCCATAATTAGAAATTATTTTGCTTTCAGTGGTAGGTCTAGATTTCTGTAGTTTATTTATTGTAGTCAACTGACGATTTGGGCATGTATTTACCATGCGCTGTTAAATTGATTCCAGGCATTCAATGAGTAGCAATAAGGAGCTCAACATGGGATGACGGTGTGCAGCTTTGTAAGTTGTCACCTCAACGAGTCCTACAGCGATAGAGAGGGCCACCCCTGTGGAGCGCAGGGGCCGCTTGCCCTGCGGCACAGGCCACGGGTCACGCTGCAGCTCTCCTAAGAGATCCGTTAAGTTCATGTCGACTTTTTGCACGGGCTGGAGAAACCTGGGGGTGTGGGCCATGAAACCAAACAAGCAGAGTGGTTAGCACATTCCTGGAAAGCACTTGGGCCATAGCAGGGTTTCATCGGTCATCAACCATTATAATGATCACCTTTGTTAAATCCAGCGGTGATGAATGTCTTCCACACATCGTCACCAGCCTTCATCAATTTGCAATGCGACATTCAATCTCTCTCTCGGACATGAATTGATCTCGTTGTTACATCTGGTGAAAATTTTTTGGGTGTTACCTATTTTGGCCACGAAATCCATCACCATTTTTGTACACTGGCTATCATTCCTTCTCGGGGTCTGTCATTCAGAAGCCTACTTACTTTTCTTAACAGCTGGCGTGTGATCTCTCATCAACTTGTCCTTATTTTTGTCTCAGTGTAATGCCTAACATGTGTAACGGGTTCCGGAGACACTTGTAGAGGTAACTTCTTTATTACAATCCAACCAACAGTCCAACAGTCCTGATACTCTGTAACAACTCCCAGGTACACAGCCTAGGTACACAGCCTAGATACACTACTCTGGCTACGCTCTGGAACTCGCCCTCACAAGGTCATAGAGCCAGGAGTTCCAGAGTCCCACCACTCGCTCTCACAGCATCCCAGGGTTCTCAGATGGCTGGTCTTGGGTATTGGGTCTTGAGCTACAACTGGCCCTGATCGTCCAGGGAGCTCCCCTTTTATAACTAGTCCCCAACGAGGGGTGGGGCCGTGTGCGCCCCCAGATCTCCCACAGAGCACACACAGCCCCCCCCTTTGGCGGCGCCAAGGCTTAAGCGCCTGGCCCACCCGGGAACCCAACGCCTGACGCCAAGAGGCTTAAGCATCTGACCCGCCTGGGAACCTACGCCTGGCGCCAAAAGGCTTAAGCGCCTAGCCCGCCCAGGATCCCAGAGCCCCCAGCAGCCCCTCCCTTCTTATGTCACTACACATGCATCTATCCATATGTGCAGATTTATTTTTCAGATTGTTACATTTTCTTTGTCAGTGTTCCATTTTTATGTTCAACTAATAAGTACCGATGGCATATGTTAAGGCACGTTAATATTTTGGTTTTCAATATAAAATTATAATTTTTAAAGGTACTCCTTTTGTTACCTGTTAAATGGTGGGAGCTGCTGGCCTTGTGGACCAGGACGTTGTTGCTGACCAGATGCTGGTGGCTTAGTCAACCCCAACATTTCCTTAATAAAAAAAGATAGAAAATAGTAATCAACTGTGAATAGATGTTTAAAAAATGGCCAATATTGCGTATCAGTGTATCATTCATTACAACAAAAATGTACGTGTGAATTGGAACAGAGGTGTATTTCAATGGAGATTTCATCATTATCTACAACCATCAAAAACAGGCAACCAAGCGTGTTTTCAAACTGGAAATAATACAAAAGCTACAAAAAATAAAACTGCTGACCCAATGCATTCTTTGGTATTATCAGTTGGACAAGCCAAACACTAGGCTATTCACTCAGCAAGGATGAAATTTTAGGATGCTAGTGATGCCACCTAGTCATCTACATATAGTGCTGAGCTGGCACTGACTAAAGAAAGTGCCTTTTCACACACTTCAATAAAAGCCACATATCCATTGAGACACCATAGCACTGGTGTTCCCCAAAACAGACTATTTTCCTTGCCAATTCTGACTGGTCACAGTAAAGCAATAAAAATGGTTTATTAGTCTTATATATATATAAAAGGGAAATTTGTGAGTGTGTCTGTTCAAAATGTTTAGCATTCTTCGCAACATGCAACAAACTTGAAATTTGGCATGTGGGTAGCTTCCAGACTGTACACAAAAAGTCTAAAAATAGACTTTTGTATTTTGGGGGGGGGGGGGGGGCGCAATAATGGATATATTTTGCACGGCAAGTGAGCGGTGACGTCACATCTGTGATGTCACCCGCATGCAACAGCGTTACGCAGTGTGCCTGCTGACGTCACGCATCCCCCACCCTCCGCGTAGGCTGTGTATTAATCAAAGACAAAAATCCATGCCTCTGGCGAAGCTGGGTAGTAAAGCTAGTTCGTAATATGATGATGCAAACAAAACATTACCACAATTTCATCATATCATGTTGGGGTTTCTGAACTCATTATCGGATGCTGTGCTACCACGAACGTCTCGTAATCATTTTACACAACATGTGTGGAAGCCAAATCTGTTAGGGCGTATAATCGGGCATGTCTTATTTCACCATTCTTGATCCAAAGGTCACACTCACCTGCAGCTGTTTGGCTGTGAGGTCCTTGGTGCCACGGAACACGTAACTCTTAGCAATGCCCTCACAGCCCAGCTCGTGAACCTGTCAGAATGGATCCAGAACTCACATCATCACCGGTACTTTGTTTTTATAGATATGACCAGTCTGTTGAAGAACACAACCACTGTACATGCCGTGTAAATATACAGCGAGAAATTAAAGCAAAATTATTTCAACAATAAGCACTTTTCGATTTAAAGCTTTCGTGACTGCACGGATTCATAATAAAATAATAAAAATAAACCACAATAATATCTTATTATATGATAAAAAAAAACAATATCTTATTATGTTTTATTGCTATTTTATTATTTCCCTTCTACGCGACTTTACCGAAAGAACCAAGAATAATAATAAGCACTTATCGCGTTTTAGCAAATCACTTCAATTGAGAGATGCGGTTTTGGAATTACGGACAGAAGAAACAAATACATGGGTCAGTGAACAAACAAAACTTAGACATCATATTGACTATGAGGAAAAGTGGACTGGAGAAGGACACATCATGGCTAGAACAGATGACTGATTGGCTAGAAAGTATTGATGACAGAATGGCAGCCAAAAAGGATAGTGAGATGGAGCGATGAGATTAGATAATGTTCAAATTGAGATTGACTGTGGGATCGCAGGAACATGAGATGGTGAATGAGAGTGAAGGCCTTCATCAAGCAGTGGACATACAATTAATCCTATTTCACATGGCTGATGTAGATGCAGAGCAACAACTACAATTTGGCATTCAGGTGGTCAAGCGAGATAAACGCGTTAGGAGCAGCGGAGTGTATCGCTGTGACGTCTCCTTCGTATTTGTGGATTGGGCATCGCGTCGTTTATGTTTTATGGTCTGATGTTGAATATTTATGGCGCTTTTTGGCCATTTTCACCTTCAGAAAGTACAGTGTTAATTAGTCTCCTGACCTGCACCATGCGGCCAAAAGTGATGAGCCCAATAAGTGCAGTGGGTGGCAGCAGACTGAGTGACATTTGCAGTGACTCCTTGAGGGCCTGAAGGTCATCCTCTTCCAGACACGTGTCCACCACATACAAGAAGATGAGTGGCATCTGTATCCCTCGCTGTGAGAACAACACAATGGAAAGGTTAACAGAGAGCGAACTTATATACATTAAGATGGCTATATTTCGATTTAAAGCTTTCGTGACTGCAGGGATTCATCTTCTTGTTTCTTTCGGTAAAGTCACGTAGAAGGGAAGTAATAAAATAATAAAAAATAAAACATAATAAAACAATTCTCACGACGTTTCGGCTACAACGCAAGCAGCCGTCTTCAGGTGAAGAATGAGACACTACCAAACTAGGAGCTTATATATAAGCTGCATTGCGGGTTGAAGAGCGCCTTAACAAAAAGAATGTGCATGTGAAGAGGGATTTAGCATATTCATGGAAAATGCGTAGGCGTTGGGCGGGGGGGTGTCAAAGTCATATTATGCCCATGCATTATGCAGGATCAGCAGCAACCAAGGGGGGTGCAGGGATTAGCAGTAACAAAGGAAAGGAATGTTAATGATATGTAGCTGCAGTTACTCAACAACCACGTAGAAAACTAAAGTATAAACTACATAAAAAACTAAAGTATAAACTGCATCGCACCATCAGTATACTTACTATACTCTATAATAAGCTGAGTTACTAACAGCAAGTAATACATTACAATTTTACCTCGTAAAAATTCTATAATATGCTTCCATCTAAACCTTATTCTCTTACATCACACGAGCATATACCGTACTATATACTGCCATAGATAAACCCAACATTAAATTATATACTGTATTGCTGTAAACCAACCTATATCTTATACATTTAATATCACACTATGTATTATTCTACACACCCTAATGTGTATCGAAATGGTTTATTACGTCCTTCCAATGATTGCTGAGCCAGAATCCATCTTCTCGGTTAAAGTTGTCTCTGTGTTTGTATATGTGGATCGCCTCATGAACGAATCTCTCATGATAGCCAGATGGCTTGCAGAGAACCTCTGTCTTGGAGAAGTCAATATCATGTGAGCCCACTGAGTTGTAACAGTGATCTGCCACGGCTGAGGAGTTAGTCCTACCGTGTTTCAGGTCAGCTTTATGTTCACGGATGCGGTCCGAGACATGTCGTTTGGTTTCCCCAAGGTAACTGCTACCACAGAGGAAACTTAGTTTGTAGACGCCAGGGTACTGTATGTCTGGAACCACATCTTTTACAGACGGTACCAGATCACGGATTTTATGTACTGTGTTGAATCGGACCTGGATCTTGTGTTTAATCAGGATTTTGGAGATCTTTTTTGTGACCCCAGCAATGTAGGGTAAGGTGATGGTCTTGAAAGGCTCCTCAACAGGATCCTTCTTGATGGTTGGAGTGATGGCTTTGCGGATTGTATAGTCGGAGTAACCATTTGCCTTAAGAGCTTGGCGTACGTGTTTGAGTTCACTGGAAATGTGTTCATGGTCGGAGATGCATTGGGCTCTATGATATAGAGTCTTGATGAGGGAATTCTTCTGAGATGGATGGTGGTGGGAATCCGGTTTTAGATAAGCATCCGTGTGGGTGGCTTTCCTGTAGACAGAGTGGCTCATTGAACCATCAGGTCTCCTTTTGATTAGGACATCCAAAAAGGGTAGCTTGCCATCATTTTCGACTTCCATGGTGAATCTGATGGCTGGGTGTATGGAATTGATGTGGTCGAGAAATTGGTCTAGAGCAGGCCGGCCATGTGGCCAGATGACAAAAGTGTCGTCTACGTACCTCTTCCATAAGGTCGGGCGTAGAGTGGCAGTCTGGATGGCGTCCGTCTCAAATTTCTCCATGAAGATGTTGGCTACAACCGGAGATAGGGGGGAGCCCATTGGGGTGCCCTCAATTTGCTTGTAGAAGGTTTCATTCCAGGTGAAGTATGTATTGGTTAAGCAGTGTCTCACCAGGGGGGGTACCCCAGCATTCAGTCCTTGATGAACCAAGTCTTCAATGATTGCGATGGTGTCAGGCACAGGTACCTTGGTGAACAAGGAAACCACATCAAAACTGACAAGCAGGTCGTCTGGGGACAGGGCAATCCCCTTGATTGTCGATACCAGGTCAGTAGAGTTTAGTACTGCAGAGGTGGTTTTTCCAGTGAAAGGCCGTAGGATTTCGGACAAAAAACGAGCCAGTTTGTAAGTGGGGGAGTTGATAGTAGAGACAATGGGACGAAGAGGTGTATCTTCTTTATGTATCTTTGGCAAGCCGTACAATCTTGGTGGTCTGGCTGCAGAAGGTTTCAACGAGAACTGTTTGGTCTGATCAATTAATGCGGTTGAAGCAGAAATGATGTTGTTGGTTTTGGAGACGAGGCTGTTGGTGGGGTCTCTTTTTATTTTTGTATAGCTGCCATCGTTTAGTAGTTCTTGAATTTTGTTGTTGTATTCTATTTTGTCCATGATGACAGTGGCATTGCCTTTGTCGGCCAGCTAGCAACATCAGCAAAGAGGAGCGTTTTGAATTAGCTCAATTAAAAAAGAGGGATGACATTGTCATCCTCTCAGCCGACAAAGGCAATGCCACTGTCATCATGGACAAAATAGAATACAACAACAAAATTCAAGAACTACTAAACGATGGCAGCTATACAAAAATAAAAAGAGACCCCACCAACAGCCTCGTCTCCAAAACCAACAACATCATTTCTGCTTCAACCGCATTAATTGATCAGACCAAACAGTTCTCGTTGAAACCTTCTGCAGCCAGACCACCAAGATTGTACGGCTTGCCAAAGATACATAAAGAAGATACACCTCTTCGTCCCATTGTCTCTACTATCAACTCCCCCACTTACAAACTGGCTCGTTTTTTGTCCGAAATCCTACGGCCTTTCACTGAAAAAACCACCTCTGCAGTACTAAACTCTACTGACCTGGTATCGACAATCAAGGGGATTGCCCTGTCCCCAGACGACCTGCTTGTCAGTTTTGATGTGGTTTCCTTGTTCACCAAGGTACCTGTACCTGACACCATCGCAATCATTGAAGACTTGGTTCATCAAGGACTGAATGCTGGGGTACCCCCCCTGGTGAGACACTGCTTAACCAATACATACTTCACCTGGAATGAAACCTTCTACAAGCAAATTGAGGGCACCCCAATGGGCTCCCCCCTATCTCCGGTTGTAGCCAACATCTTCATGGAGAAATTTGAGACGGACGCCATCCAGACTGCCACTCTACGCCCGACCTTATGGAAGAGGTACGTAGACGACACTTTTGTCATCTGGCCACATGGCCGGCCTGCTCTAGACCAATTTCTCGACCACATCAATTCCATACACCCAGCCATCAGATTCACCATGGAAGTCGAAAATGATGGCAAGCTACCCTTTTTGGATGTCCTAATCAAAAGGAGACCTGATGGTTCAATGAGCCACTCTGTCTACAGGAAAGCCACCCACACGGATGCTTATCTAAAACCGGATTCCCACCACCATCCATCTCAGAAGAATTCCCTCATCAAGACTCTATATCATAGAGCCCAATGCATCTCCGACCATGAACACATTTCCAGTGAACTCAAACACGTACGCCAAGCTCTTAAGGCAAATGGTTACTCCGACTATACAATCCGCAAAGCCATCACTCCAACCATCAAGAAGGATCCTGTTGAGGAGCCTTTCAAGACCATCACCTTACCCTACATTGCTGGGGTCACAAAAAAGATCTCCAAAATCCTGATTAAACACAAGATCCAGGTCCGATTCAACACAGTACATAAAATCCGTGATCTGGTACCGTCTGTAAAAGATGTGGTTCCAGACATACAGTACCCTGGCGTCTACAAACTAAGTTGCCTCTGTGGTAGCAGTTACATTGGGGAAACCAAACGACATGTCTCGGACCGCATCCGTGAACATAAAGCTGACCTGAAACACGGTAGGACTAACACCTCAGCCGTGGCAGATCACTGTTACAACTCAGTGGGCTCACATGATATTGACTTCTCCAAGACAGAGGTTCTCTGCAAGCCATCTGGCTATCATGAGAGATTCGTTCATGAGGCGATCCACATATACAAACACAGAGACAACTTTAACCGAGAAGATGGATTCTGGCTCAGCAATCATTGGAAGGACGTAATAAACCATTTCGATACACATTAGGGTGTGTAGAATAATACATAGTGTGATATTAAATGTATAAGATATAGGTTGGTTTACAGCAATACAGTATATAATTTAATGTTGGGTTTATCTATGGCAGTATATAGTACGGTATATGCTCGTGTGATGTAAGAGAATAAGGTTTAGATGGAAGCATATTATAGAATTTTTACGAGGTAAAATTGTAATGTATTACTTGCTGTTAGTAACTCAGCTTATTATAGAGTATAGTAAGTATACTGATGGTGCGATGCAGTTTATACTTTAGTTTTTTATGTAGTTTATACTTTAGTTTTCTACGTGGTTGTTGAGTAACTGCAGCTACATATCATTAACATTCCTTTCCTTTGTTACTGCTAATCCCTGCACCCCCCTTGGTTGCTGCTGATCCTGCATAATGCATGGGCATAATATGACTTTGACACCCCCCCGCCCAACGCCTACGCATTTTCCATGAATATGCTAAATCCCTCTTCACATGCACATTCTTTTTGTTAAGGCGCTCTTCAACCCCCAATGCAGCTTATATATAAGCTCCTAGTTTGGTAGTGTCTCATTCTTCACCTGAAGACGGCTGCTTGCGTTGTAGCCGAAACGTCGTGAGAATTGTTTTATTATGTTTTATTTTTTATTATTTTATTACTTCCCTTCTACGTGACTTTACCGAAAGAAACAAGAAGATAAGATGGCTATGTTGTAAATTATGTGATTTTTCAGACGTAAAAACATGTTTGCTGACTCTAATTCACCCCTTTACTTCCCACCAGAAATTTGATACAATCTTATAAATTGGGGGAACAATTCAATGCAAATAACTATTATTTTTGCCTAATTTCTGAAGTTTTGCATTTATAGTCTATTTTATATTCGGTCTTTTTCATTACAATTGCAAAAATGTAATGCATGACATTTTCATACAATTTAATCAATTACAAATAATGACAAATAACATGCTTAGGTAAGTCCCACATATTTACACAGATTAAATAAATTGTCCTCTAATCTGCCTCTTCAGATATAGTTTTGTTTTCGGTCCTTTTAAGATCTATTATAAAGCCTGGCATTCTATTTGTCCGTCAATTAACTTATAAGAGGCTTTCAGAAGGCCTGAATCAAAAAGTTAGAGAAACTGGACACCCCCAGTTCCATGGGTGAAAAAGCTGATCCAACAGGTTTGCAAAAATTATCGATGCCCCAAAATGTTTACTCACTCACCCCCCCACTATAAAAATAAATGTATTTTGTAGGCATATATGCCGAGACACCCTATATACAAGAGCCAGTAGTATCTGTAGGGTGTGTAGTAATATATGCCTACACACCCTACATACAAGTCAGTAGTATCTGCACATATTGGGGGGCGGGGAGGAAGAAGAGGTGAGGGTGACGGGCTAGGCACGCAGCGCTGCAAGAATTAGAATAAGGTGGCCGTAGGCCAGCAAAATTCTAGTTTGATATATTTTTCTGCAGGTGCTTTGTTTTAGGTAAACACAAGTGCCTGTGTTAACATGACAAGTATTTTTTTTAAGATCCATTAAATTTGGATTTAATCAGAGTTCTGAGTTGTAATGGTGATTTTTATTCCTTGTCCCACAATATTTCTATCCTCAAATGTATTTATTTTACAACATCAAAATAAATAAGGGATGCTACCGTGGGTATAATGGTTAACACACTGGACTTGCAATCCAAAGGTCTGCGGATGGTTCTCCTAGCACAGCAATTGATATGACGCAAGTCTCTTAAATCCCCCCTCCGCTCTCCATGCAGGGGTATAAATGGGTACACCAGTTCGTAGATTGCAAGTTGCATGTGGTGGGATAAAGTTTGGGTACTCCCACCTATTCCAAGACATCTGTATGTTGAACTTGTGTTGTACGGTATGTAGCCAACCGTGCCAAGCAGAGGTGACATCCGGCCACCATTGAAGCACAGGCTAAAATACCCTTGAGAGCGGCGGTTTCTAGAACTCCCTCTCGTGGAGGCCTTTCCACCAGAAGCGGCTTGAGCAAGAAATTGCAGGGATGCATATTTCCATTTATTTAGATAAAACAGATTGCTATTCAAATTACTGTGTGCTCGGGAACCTCACCTGGACAACATAATCAATGGTAGAGAACTGGGGGACGAGTTCAGCCGGCATGTTCATTTCAGAAATTCCTGCGTAAGTCGGTGGAAACTGAAACATAAAATGTCAATCAAACTTGATTTATGAGCATTCACATTTGACTTAAACTTAAAAGCATACACTGACATTCAAATGCATTGTAAATGTAGATATCATATTTCTGGCTTTCTATATAAAAATATTAATTTTAATCATAGATTTGACAATACACTAAGAATAGAAGGCAACGAGGACAACTAATAACTGTAATTGATGTGTTGTGTGTCTAACTAACTACACGGAGACGACTTCTGGAGGCAACGCGTTTATTTCAACAACTCTACGAACAGCGACTGTAACACGAACCCTTCAACCCGATAGCCTAAGGGAGGTACAGCCTCCCTTCTAGTGTGCCCTACACACTCCAGGATACTCTACACCCAGGTCCCTTGCCACGGCCGCTAAGGGAAGCTAGACCGACCCGACACTGCCAGGGTACAGGTCCGACCACTGGTCTGCTACAACCTGGCTCTGACAAGAGCCTCGGGTGAGGGTCCCCGGGTGCTGGTCCATTCTTCAGGTCTTGGAGGTCTTCAGGCTTGAGTTGGTGAACACTGCCGGACCCGTTCAGAGGGCCGGCTTTTTATCCTCAGGTCGGGGCTTACCCCTCCCCTAATGACCCCCCCTCCAGAACCTTCTGGAAGGTCTTAAAGGGCCTTAAATCCTAAAGGGTCTTAAAATCGGTGGGCGGTCTCTATCCCTCCCAGCCCCCAACCCTTGAGGGTCTGGGGTGTCAACCTCCGGTCACGGGCCACCCGAGGGGGGTTTTTACCCCGTGACCGTGGTGGCAGGTAAAGCGACTTACAGCGCCTTGTTATGGCGCAACAGATGTAAGAAGTAATTTCAAAAGCTTTGTAAAATAATTTATTACAAATGAAGGGGGCAATATAAATCAAAATCTGCTTTGCCAAATTTGACATTAGATAATTATCATGCATTAACAAATTGTGTGCATGTAGTCAAACAAGCAAACCCTGTCAGTACGAGTTTGGTCGGGTCAATTACAAATTACAATCACTATAGAATTGTTAGATGAAAATCATACTTTGTTATTGGAATTCATGAATAAACTACAATCAGAATTGTAATTAGCTCCAGGTTTGTCTTGTGGGTTGTCAAATAAGAAACAGCAATGACAATTTACATGTTGTATTAATTCGTAAAAGCTACAGTTACAACAGTATTTTGAATACAATTAAGACATTAAGGCAAATGTGATGAAGCAAGTGAAAAACATTTTAACCGAGGACCTCCAACCACTGTGTCCAGAAGCTATGCTAACATCATCAGCCATTATCTATCCCTGTGCTAGGTAGCAATGCAACTCAATTCCTTAAAATTTCTTGACAGAATCTCATATTAATCTCATAATAAAAGCCATCATCGCTTATACATCTATTAAGATTGACAAGTTGTACGAACATTTACGTTAGATTGAAACATTTTATAAAAGCAAATCGTGTATGTTAAGATAATAATATACAACAATAACAAAAACTCACCGGGTTTCTCTGGTAACAAAAATTACATGCCCAAAGTTTGGCTCTGTAGTCAACTTGGCTGAAATAACAAACAAAAAACGACGTTTAATACAACACCAGCTTCAACACACTGACAAATAATGTTCAAATAATATTTTTGAACAAAGTCAATGACATGAATTCAAGGGATCCTTGCATCTCAAAAAAATTACAGCCTATAACAAATGTACTCTTGCCTGATCCATGTACTGTGCATTAGTTAAACACCTGATCAATACATGCTTTTGCACAGAGTACTTCAACTATATTTTCCATTGGCTACATAGTAACAGTATGTATGTTGAACTTCTTTCGCACCGTACGTAACCAACTGTGCTAATCGGAGGTGCGGGAAAGGAAACTGGATGTGCCGGTTATGACATAGCGTGACCTCCTGTATTTGTAAATGTGACCACTAATGAATACCACTGGTCTGCAGATCTCTCTCTTGATAATCCTCCTTTCATCTCACTCATCTTCATCTCGATCCAACAGCTTTCTCATCTCTCATTTATCTAGCTTTAACTGACCACCTTTATCTCTTGTATACAGCTGTATATTCTCCAGCTATAGTTTTTCTCTCTTTCATCTCACTCATGTATACCTCTTTAAGCTTTGGTTAACCATATTTCTCAATAGGCTATAGCTTCTAGATTTGAAGCTTTCGTGACTGCAAGGATTCATACTCTTAGGTTTTTTCGGTAAAGTCACTACATCACTACGTGACTTTACCGAAAAAACCTAAGAGTAGGCTATAGCTTGTTAGACCACTCCCAACAGCCTTCGTGGGTTACATCTGGCCCATAGGCCGCTATTTGAAGAACCCTCTTTAGCGCAATGCGGTGAGGTTGGTAGGTGTGGATCGCGTGCTACGTGCCACACACAGGTAATGGTGGTGGGCCCCACCAGAGCGGGTTGAGGACGGCACGGCAGGTGGCACGGCTGCACAGCACGGGCTCATACTGCAAGGGCGGCAGGTCGGGTCGCTCACGCAGAGGCGTGAACAGGCAAGCAAGCGGCACCACCATGCGCGTGGCTTCCAGCCGGCTTGAAGGCCACACGTTCCAGCTGAACCGCACGCCATCCCGCTCCTCGTTCTGCTGGATGTACTCTCCAAATGTCGTCATGACAATGTGTTGTAACGATACCAGCCTGCGAGCACTAAAAAAGAAGAAACAAGCATAGGCGAGCAATCACACGATAATCTTGACAGGGCATATTTTTGATAAGTTGTCGTATTTTTTTCGATCATGTTGTTCTTGTAATCTTCACATACATTTATCCCAATTGTGCAATCGGCGTCACATAATGAAAAATATCCATTCAGATATCTCGATATTAGACGGCGGGTGTTAGAGAGCGACCTACAGAAGCAGATATAGAAGAGGTACCTCCAGAATCCATTCAAGCGTTTGCCAACCCAAAACTGAACAGCTTGAAGTATGGCCAAATAAGCCCGCTACCTGTAAGGTGTGGGGTAGCCCTCGTCCTGCAGTGGATTTATAAAAGATCTGTACCGTACATCTCTTATAAACCATGCATCTAACTTAAGGCCATACTCGTCGCTGCATACAACGATGTAAAACCGACTTGTTTGGGGAAACAAGGCGCAACGTAGGTGTTGTATGCAACCCAGCACTGGACATAGGGCACGTGATTTACGTCTTTCGATGTCTTAATCATACAGATTTCTATCACAGTGGAGCGGTCGTGAAGTGGTTTGTGTACTGCGCTATGAAACTGGCGGGCTAAGTTCGATTAATTATCAGCCACGAATAACATCAGTGGCGAGTAAAATGTACCTGAAATGGCCCTGGGCCACCTTCTTAACCAACCAGCACTGACCGCGCGAAAATTAAGGTCATACAAACACAATGCATCGGGGAAGTGTGACGAGGCCAAAATCAGCAGTTACCCCAGTGTAAATCGTTACCTCTGTGTAGATCATTACCCCTGTGTGGATTGTCACCCCAGTGTAGACCGTTACCCCTGTGTAGATCGTTACCCCAGTGTAGATCGTTACCCCAGTGTAGATCGTTACCCCGTGTAGATCGTTACCCCAGTGTAGATCGTTACCGCTGTGTACATCGTTACCCCAGTGTAGATCGTTACCCCAGTGTAGATCGTTACCCCGTGTAGATCGTTACCCCAGTGTAGATCGTTACCCCTGTGTACATCGTTACCCCAGTGTAGATCGTTACCCTTGTGTACATCGTTACCCCAGTGTAGATCGTTACCTCTGTGTAGATCGTTACCCCAGTGTAGATCGTTACCCCAGTGTAGATCGTTACCCCTGTGAAGAACGTTACCCCTGTGAAGATCGTTACCCCAGTGTAGATCGTTACCCCTGTGTAGATCGTTACCCCAGTGTAGATCGTTACCCCAGTGTAGATCGTTACCCCTGTGTAGATCGTTACCCCAGTGTAGATCGTTACCCCAGTGTAGATCGTTACCCCTGTGAAGAACGTTACCCCTGTGAAGAACGTTACCCCAGTGTATATCGTTACCCCTGTGAAGAACGTTACCCCTGTGAAGATCGTTACCCCTGTGAAGATCGTTACCCCAGTGTAGATCGTTACCCCTGTGAAGAACGTTACCCCTGTGAAGAACGTTACCCCAGTGTAGATCGTTACCCCTGTGAAGAACGTTACCCCTGTGAAGAACGTTACCCCAGTGTAGATCGTTACCCCTGTGAAGAACGTTACCCCTGTGAAGAACGTTACCCCTGTGTAGATCGTTACCCCTGTGAAGAACGTTACCCCTGTGTAGATCGTTACCCCAGTGTAGATCGTTACCCCTGTGAAGAACGTTACCCCTGTGAAGAACGTTACCCCTGTGTAGATCGTTACCCCTGTGAAGAACGTTACCCCTGTGAAGAACGTTACCCCTGTGAAGAACGTTACCCCTGTGAAGAACGTTACCCCTGTGAAGAACGTTACCCCTGTGTAGATCGTTACCCTGTGAAGAACGTTACCCCTGTGAAGAACGTTACCCCTGTGAAGAACGTTACCCCTGTGAAGAACGTTACCCCTGTGTAGATCGTTACCCCTGTGAAGAACGTTACCCCTGTGTAGATCGTTACCCCTGTGTACATCGTTACCCCTGTGTACATCGTTACCCCTGTGAAGAACGTTACCCCTGTGTAGATCGTTACCCCTGTGAAGAACGTTACCCCTGTGTAGAACGTTACCCCTGTGAAGAACGTTACCCCTGTGAAGAACGTTACCCCTGTGAAGAACGTTACCCCTGTGAAGAACGTTACCCCTGTGAAGAACGTTACCCCTGTGTAGATCGTTACCCCTGTGTACATCGTTACCCCTGTGTACATCGTTACCCCTGTGTAGATCGTTACCCCTGTGAAGAACGTTACCCCTGTGTAGATCGTTACCCCTGTGAAGAACGTTACCCCTGTGAAGAACGTTACCCCTGTGAAGAACGTTACCCCTGTGAAGAACGTTACCCCTGTGAAGAACGTTACCCCTGTGAAGAACGTTACCCCTGTGTACATCGTTACCCCTGTGTACATCGTTACCCCTGTGTAGATCGTTACCCCTGTGAAGAACGTTACCCCTGTGTAGATCGTTACCCCTGTGAAGAACGTTACCCCTGTGAAGAACGTTACCCCTGTGTAGATCGTTACCCCTGTGAAGAACGTTACCCCTGTGAAGAACGTTACCCCTGTGAAGAACGTTACCCCTGTGAAGAACGTTACCCCTGTGAAGAACGTTACCCCTGTGAAGAACGTTACCTCGGTGATTCCTCTGGGGGGTTACGCGGATTTTCTCCGCTCCCAACTTAGACGCCGTTAAAAATCCACCACGAAAGTAGAAGAGCAGCTAAAGCGGACGGGCCTCAGGACTACAGAACACAGCGGAGGGGATGTAGTAAAAATGTACCGACTCTCGGTGTTTAAATAACGACGAACAAACTCTCTTTTGGTACGAAACTGAACATTTCCATCGCGTGAGAGAGAAACGAAGACGCGTTACCAGCCACGGCCGCTTGAACCCGATTCGAATTCCCTACAGCGCCTAAGTATACGACGCCCCGCTTGCTCCACGTGATTGGTAGCGGCTTGTCACGTGCTACGTGCATTGACCAATAGAACGCGTTTGTGGGGCTTGTCCCGCTGAAATGTTTCACCCAATGGGGTGAGAGGTGGTGCGCGTGTGCATTAGGGAATGCGATCTCGCGTATCGCGGCGTCTGCGAACACGGTGACAGCGCTCGCGTTCCAAAGGGCTTTGCCACGTCAGGAGATTACAAAGGAGTCATAAACTTAATGATCTATTCGAGCAATTGTGACTTTTAAAAAAAATATGCACGTGAGCTACGTCGGATTAGCTATCCTAAAAAGTATTTTGCCCGATTTAGTTTATGTGCGTTTTGGTTTTAATTTAATAATTGGTGCCCATTCCACGCGAATGTGCTTGCTGCTAATTGGCAGTATAGATTTACTTAGGAAAATGCCATTCATTTGATCTATAAAACTTTATTTGAAATAATTATAGATTTGAAGTTTCTGTGACTGCAAGAATCCATACTCTTTGGTTCTTTCGGTAAAGTCACGTAGGTAAAAATTTAAAATAAAAATCACGACGTTTCGGGCGTAACACAAGCGTCCGTCCTCAGGTGGCGACAACCACAGGGACAAAACCATCGCTGAAGTTTGCCAAAGAGGCGGCTGCGAGCCTGTGACGAGGCTTATCGAGCTGGGGGGGGGAGCCAGGGCGAGTGTGGGGGCGGGGCTGTGAACCGTTGGGGGGGGGGAGCCAGGGCGAGTGTGGGGGCGGGGCTGTGAACCGTTGGGGGGGGGGGGAGCCAGGGCGAGTGTGGGGGCGGGGCTGTGAACCGTTGGGGGGGAGCCAGGGCGAGTGTGGGGGCGGGGCTGTGAACCGTTGGGGGGGGGGGAGCCAGGGCGAGTGTGGGGGCGGGGCTGTGAACCGTTGGGGGGGGGGAGCCAGGGCGAGTGTGGGGGCGGGGCTGTGAACCGTTGGGGGGGGGGGGGGAGCCAGGGCGAGTGTGGGGGCGGGGCTGTGAACCGTTGGGGGGGGGGGGGAGCCAGGGCGAGTGTGGGGGCGGGGCTGTGAACCGTTGGGGGGGGGGGAGCCAGGGCGAGTGTGGGGGCGGGGCTGTGAACCGTTGGGGGGGGGGAGCCAGGGCGAGTGTGGGGGCGGGGCTGTGAACCGTTGGGGGGGGGGGGAGCCAGGGCGAGTGTGGGGGCGGGGCTGTGAACCGTTGGGGGGGGGGGGAGCCAGGGCGAGTGTGGGGGCGGGGCTGTGAACCGTTGGGGGGGGGAGGAGCCAGGGCGAGTGTGGGGGCGGGGCTGTGAACCGTTGGGGGGGGAGCCAGGGCGAGTGTGGGGGCGGGGCTGTGAACCGTTGGGGGGGGGGGAGCCAGGGCGAGTGTGGGGGCGGGGCTGTGAACCGTTGGGGGGGGGGAGGAGCCAGGGCGAGTGTGGGGGCGGGGCTGTGAACCGTTGGGGGGGGGGAGGAGCCAGGGCGAGTGTGGGGGCGGGGCTGTGAACCGTTGGGGGGGGGAGGAGCCAGGGCGAGTGTGGGGGCGGGGCTGTGAACCGTTGGGGGGGGGGGAGCCAGGGCGAGTGTGGGGGCGGGGCTGTGAACCGTTGGGGGGGGGGGGAAGCCAGGGCGAGTGTGGGGGCGGGGCTGTGAACCGTTGGGGGGGGGGAGCCAGGGCGAGTGTGGGGGCGGGGCTGTGAACCGTTGGGGGGGGGAGGAGCCAGGGCGAGTGTGGGGGCGGGGCTGTGAACCGTTGGGGGGGGGGGGGCAGGGCGAGTGTGGGGGCGGGGCTGTGAACCGTTGGGGGGGGGAGGAGCCAGGGCGAGTGTGGGGGCGGGGCTGTGAACCGTTGGGGGGGGGAGGAGCCAGGGCGAGTGTGGGGGCGGGGCTGTGAACCGTTGGGGGGGGGGAGGAGCCAGGGCGAGTGTGGGGGCGGGGCTGTGAACCGTTGGGGGGGGGAGGAGCCAGGGCGAGTGTGGGGGCGGGGCTGTGAACCGTTGGGGGGGGGGAGGAGCCAGGGCGAGTGTGGGGGCGGGGCTGTGAACCGTTGGGGGGGGGGGGGCGTGAACTCTGCAAGCTCCAAACACTGCACGTCAAATTTCCTAATGATGGTAGTGTGTGTGCAAGGCTGGGAGTAAAAGACAGGAGATGCGGATATGCATATAAACTATAAGGCAGCTAAGGTTTAACTTGGTTAATAACATCCTTCCAATGATTGCTCAATTTGAATCCATCTTCTCGGTTGAAGTTACGTCTATGTTTGTATATCTGGATGGCTTCATGGATAAATCTCTGGTGGTATCCAGACGGCTTGCAGAGCACCTTGGTATTGGAGAAAACAATATCATGAGAGTCCACCGCGTTGTAGCAGTGATCAGTCACGGTGGAAGAATTCGTCCTTCCGTGTTTCAAATCTGCCTTGTGCTCGCGAATATGGTCTTATATATGTCGTTTCGTTTCCCCAATGTAACAATCACCACAAATGCAACTCAGTTTGTAGACTCTAGAGTACTGCAAGTCAGGAATAACATCCTTTACGGATGGGATCAGATCACGGATGTTGTGTACTGTACTGAATCGGACCTGGATCTTGTGTTTGTTAAAGATTTTGGAAATACTTTTGGTAACGCCTGCTATGTATGGCAACGTGATGATTTTGATCGGAGTCTCAGGGGGTTGTCTCTCTATGGTTGGAGACACAGCTTTGTGGATACTCTGTGCCGAATATCCATTCATCTTTAGGGCCCGGTGTACATGTTCTAATTCACTGGCCAGGTGGTGTTGGTCAGAAATGCAGTGGGCCCTATGGTGTAGTGTTTTGATGAGGGAATTCTTCTGTGCAGGATGGTGGTGGGAATCAGGTTTCAGATAGGAATCTGTGTGGGTGGCCTTCCTGTAGACAGAATGTCCCAAAGAGCCATTGGGCCTCCTCTCAAACAGAATATCCAAGAATGGTAGCTTGCCATCCTTCTCCACTTCCATGGTGAATTTGATGGATGGGTGTATGGAGTTAATGTGGTCGAGAAATTGGTTCAATGCTGACAGGCCATGTGGCAAAATGACGAAAGTATCATCTACATATCTCTACCACAGGGAAGGACGGAAGGTGGATGTCTGGATGGCGTCTGTTTCAAATTTTCCCATGAAAACATTGGCTATCACTGGTGACAAGGGGGAACCCATGGAGGTACCCTCATTTTGGTTGTAGAAAGTACAATTCCAGGTGAGGTAAGTGTTGGTAAGGCAGTGCCTAACCAGTGCAGGGACATCAGGGTTCAGTCCATGTTGGACTAAGTCTTCAATTATTGCTATGGTGTCAGGCATGCACTGGAACCTTGATGAATAGAGAAACCACATCAAAGCTGACGAGGACATCATCAGGGGACAGTGAAATGTCCTTGATTAGAGAGTTAAAGTGAGTTGAATTAAGTACTGCTGAAGTGGTCTTGCCAGTAAAGGGAAGCAAAGTATCTGACAGAAAAGGGGCTAGTTTGTAGGTAGGTGAGTTGATCGTGGACACGATGGGCCGCAGTGGGGTACCTTCTTTGTGGATCTTGGGAAGACCATAGAATCTGGGTGGTCTAGCAGCCGAAGGTTTTAGGGAGAGCCGTTTGACTGGTCGATTAGAGAAGTCGAACTGGTAATGATCTTGTTGGTTTTTGTAGTTAGGCTGTTAGTAGGATCTTTATTGATTTTGGAGTAGCTGCCATCATTTAGCAGGTCCTGGATTTTGTTGTATGTGGTTTTATCCATGATGACAGTGGCATTGCCCTTGTCGGCCGAGAGGATGACTATGTTATCCCTATTTTTCAAATTTGCGAGTTCAGAGCACTCGTTTTTTTGTTATTTGAAGCCTTCGTGACTGCAGGAATCCATAATCTTTGGTTCTTTCAGTAAAGTCACGTAGGTTTGTTCATGAAGCCATCCCGATATATAAACACAGACACAACTTCAACCAAGAGGATGAGTACAAACTGAGCAATCATTGGAAGGACGTTATTAACCAGATGAAGTCTTAACTGACTGATGTTTCCATCCTACCTGCCGATGTCAGCTGCTATTTCTGCTATTTCCGACTCTGCGTCTCTCTCGCTATGCCTCTCTCCTACGAGACTCTCAGAGAGTCGGAAATAGCATTGCACTCTCATGCCTATGGATTGCATTCTCATACTTACGTGCCCTTTGGATTGCACCCGTTGGGTTGCACTCCCTCGTCGAGGAGGCCGCTCTCCTCCTATCTTACAGTTACATGCTAATTTCTCACATTAACATCACTAGCCCCGGCCACTTCTTTATGACCCTTGGGCTACACACATTTCAAACCTTTTAAAACAGTCTGCCTCAGCAGCAGATCATGCTTTCCCACTTGATGACGGACGCTTGTGTTGCGCCCGAAACGTCGTGATTTAATTTATTTTATACCTACGTGACTTAACCGAAAGAACCAAAGAGTATATAAAACTTAATTTTATTTTAATTTGATATATAAAACGTATATATAAAGTTACACATGTGTTAATCGCACTGCTTTAAAAAGGCACACATGGGCTGTAATTAATTTACTAAATGTAGTTTTACATTAATGTCTAAAGCAACCATTGGTAAGGAAAGATTAAGTATGTCATGCTTTTTTATGTATAAATTATTTATAATCCTTGATTGCGGCATGTTCCCAATTATGGGCTAGGTGTAGAATATAAGTAACAAAAAATTATAAGTAACAATAAGAATATAAGTAACAATAAGTAGACAATTCCCCTGCTCGGAGGGCACAATGAAGCTCGAGTAACAATGTCGCGTGATGTAGTTTTGCATCACAGGAGGACCCTTGTCTCAGAGAAGAGTCCTTGCTTATGTATCGTGTACGTTGAACTTCTTGTGTATGTTGAAATTATTTCGCTCTGTACGTAGCCAACAGTGCTAATCAGAGGTGTGGGGAAAGGACAATCAACTAAACAAAAAAAGCTATTCTAAAGAAATTAATTTTCAATCGAGATTTAAAAGTGAATAGCTGCAGTCGCATCCTAACCTGGGTGCGCCACGGTGGCTAGGAGATGTTATACACGACCTCCTGGTACACAGGAGGTGACAGGGGGTCGTGGGTGACCCTGACGCCTGCTGCTGCTGTATATTTGGAGTTTGCGTCTCTCTCCCCGCAGTCGCGTGGATTTTTCCCCGGGTCCTCCGTTTTTTCCACTCCACATTTATAATCAACATCACGCGTTTAGAGTATTTGGCTGCTATGCATTTCCACAATATAAACCACTTCGTTGAGCTAGCCTTTGTGGCGAGGTTGCTTCTGAAGAAAGCTTTATTGCTCAGGGAGCTTTGCCTGGTGAAATAAAAAAAACTGCCTGCTGACGATCAGGCACTGAATGTCGAAACCGATCCAGAAGTTGCTTGTATTGAACCAATTCTGTTGAAGTATAAGATTAGGTTTTCCCCTTTTATCTGGCAACAAAACAGATGTTAAGATGTTAAAACACCAAACTGAAACCTTTTACAAGGAATCATGTCTGCATTAACCACAATGCTTGTGGTCAGAATGCAAACAAAAACACTCTTATAATATATGCATTGTCCTTGAAGCTGGTCCACACCAGAGACAGCTTTCTTTTGAGCCTCGTCTCAAACGCTGTTAGACCAGATGACGCCAAAAGGTGCACAGCTCAAAGACAACGCCACTATCAGAGTAATGAGAGCTCGGGGTGAGCAGATCCATCACGGGACCTCCGTTGCCAGTACCAAAATATGTAAAAGGTTTCATTGTGGTGTTTTAACATCTTAACACCTGTTTTGTTTCCAGAAAAAAGAAGAAACCCTAATCTCATATTTTGGTACTGGCAAATGAGGTCCCAATTCTATTGAAGTTATGCACTCCCAGATAGCTGTGTGACAGATTAAACGTGTAGAACATACCCTTATCGGTTTTGTGAAGAGGCCGACAGAATGTGAAGGCGTCTTGTTTGCTGATCGTATTTATTTTGCACCTAAAATCGGATGGCGCGACAACAGGAGCACATCTCGCACACACTCCAGCCACTGGATGGCGCCACAGAGGCAACTGTACAATCTTGATCTGAAGCTTGTACAGTTAAGGCTCTGTTCTGTCGTGTGTGCTTACACAATATACAGTCCGTCATCACGAAGGTCATCGTCCACAACAGATAATCCACGATTAATAGCGAATACTTGCTGAGTGAAGCAGCCCCGCCGGTTCGGGTTGTCTTGCGTCCGAGGCCACCGACTGGCGGCCAGGAGCACGCGGCGCGTGTGGCGGCTGTTGGAGGGTTCGTGACTGGGTTCTGCTGGTGTTGGGTTCAACTGTGTCCTGTGCTGCTGGTGTTGGGGTCAACTGTGTCCTGTGCTGGTGTTGGGGTCAACTGTGTCCTGTGCTGCTGGTGTTGGGTTCAACTGTGTCCTGTGCTGGTGTTGGGTTCAACTGTGTCCTGTGCTGCTGGTGTTGGGGTCAACTGTGTCCTGTGCTGGTGTTGGGGTCAACTGTGTCCTGTGCTGCTGGTGTTGGGTTCAACTGTGTCCTGTGCTGGTGTTGGGGTCAACTGTGTCCTGTGCTGGTGTTGGGGTCAACTGTGTCCTGTGCTGGTGTTGGGGTCAACTGTGTCCTGTGCTGCTGGTGTTGGGTTCAACTGTGTCCTGTGCTGCTGCTGCTGGTGTTGGGGTCAACTGTGTCCTGTGCTGCTGCTGGTGTTGGGGTCAACTGTGTCCTGTGCTGCTGCTGGTGTTGGGGTCAACTGTGTCCTGTGCTGCTGCTGCTGCTGCTGGTGGTGTTGGGTTCAACTGTGTCCTGTGCTGCTGCTGCTGGTGTTGGGGTCAACTGTGTCCTGTGCTGCTGCTGCTGCTGGTGTTGGGGTCAACTGTGTCCTGTGGTGCTGCTGCTGCTGCTGGTGTTGGGGTCAACTGTGTCCTGTGCTGCTGCTGCTGGTGTTGGGGTCAACTGTGTCCTGTGCTGCTGCTGCTGCTGGTGTTGGGGTCAACTGTGTCCTGTGCTGCTGCTGCTGCTGCTGCTGGTGTTGGGGTCAACTGTGTCCTGTGGTGCTGCTGCTGCTGGTGTTGGGGTCAACTGTGTCCTGTGGTGCTGCTGCTGCTGCTGGTGTTGGGGTCAACTGTGTCCTGTGGTGCTGCTGCTGCTGCTGGTGTTGGGGTCAACTGTGTCCTGTGCTGCTGCTGCTGGTGTTGGGGTCAACTGTGTCCTGTGGTGCTGCTGCTGCTGCTGGTGTTGGGGTCAACTGTGTCCTGTGCTGCTGCTGGTGTTGGGGTCAACTGTGTCCTGTGCTGCTGCTGCTGCTGCTGGTGTTGGGTTCAACTGTGTCCTGTGCTGCTGCTGGTGGTCAGTCAAGGACGAGGCCAAGTGAAGAACGTTCTCTGGGGGCAGTGATGTCCTACAGGAGCCGAGGTCTCATGGGCATGGGCCTGGTGGCCGTGGGCGCATGGGCCTCGTGGATGCTGCTCGGCCCTTCCCCGGAGCGTAGCCGGGACATCGAGAAGGTGCCGCCGCCACTCCGCCTCGTCTTCTTCTTCTTCATGAGTTTTACCTTTCGGCCCTCCTGCCAGGCCACCATTGCAGGAAGGCCTCTCCGCCGTCATTCATGAATGTGCCTTGCTTGCCCACACTTCACCGCGCATGCCACAGGGTTGGCGAGGGTTTGTTGTTGGGGGGGTTGACAGGTTATATATATCAAGGACTTTATACATCGTTCGCCGCTGATGATAGCCATGTTCGGGAATCAAACTCAGCCAGGTTCTGAGGGAAATGCGCTAACCGCTGTACCACCGCTCCAAGCCAGCTTTAAACTTTGTTACAGCCATACATCCACTAGCGTGTGTGTTTGTGGTGTGGCTTACGATTAGGCATGCCACGATTTAATTCATGCTGCGATCACGATACGCAAAGTGACGTGCGTTCGAGAATTAACACATTTTTCGATTTAAATCTTTCGTGACTGCAGGGATTCATCTTCTTGGTTCTTTCGGTAAAGTCACGTAGAAGGGAAGTAATAAAATAATAAAAATAAAACATAATAAAATAAAATAATTCTCACGACGTTTCGGCTACAACGCAAGTAGCCGTCTTCAGGTGAGGAATGAGACACTGCCAAGCTAGGAGCTTATATATACGCTGGGTTGGAGGTGCAAGAAGAGTGCCTTAACAAAAAGAATGTGCATATCAAGAGAAATTTAGCATATTCATGGAAAATGCGTAGGAGGTGGGCGGGGGGGTTTCAAAGTCATTTATGCCCATGCATTATGCAGGATCAGCAGCACCAAGGGAGGGTGCAGGGAGTAGCATTAACAAAGGAAAGGAATGTTAATAGTATGTAGCTGCAGTTACTAAACAACCACGTAGAAAACTAAAGTATAAACTACATAAAAAACTAAAGTATAAACTGCATAGCACCATCAGTATACTTACTATACTCTACAATAAGCTGAGTTACTAACAGCAAGTAATACATTACAATTCTACGTCATAAAAATTATATAATATGCTTCCATCTAAACTTTATTCTCTTACATCACACGAGCATACACCGTATTATATACTGCCATAGATAAACCCAACATTAAATTATATACTGTATTGCTATAAATCACCCTATACCTTATACATTTTAATATAACACTATGTTATTATTCTACCCACCCTAATGTGTATCACACTGCTATATGTTAACTATACAATTACGATACTGTATATTACTTGTACATTGTATTAAGCATATAAATGTTATACTATTTGTTATTATACACTGTACCATTGACCGTCGTGTCAATGGGTGAGTCGTGGGGGGAAACTTGCAGCGGAGCAAAGAATCCATTCCCTGCGGAGAATACAATGCCAGTGAGTGGAACGCGGTCTGAAAGTCACCGTAAACGTGAACACAATCAGTTAAGATCCAAAATGGTTTATTACATCCTTCCAATGATTGCTAAGCCAGAATCAATCTTCTCGGTTAAAATTGTCTCTGTGTTTGTATATGTGGATCGCCTCATGAACGAATCTCTCATGATAGCCAGATGGCTTGCAGAGAACCTCTGTCTTGGAGAAGTCAATGTCATGTGAGCCCACTGAGTTGTAACAGTGATCTGCCACGGCCGAGGTGTTTGTCCTACCGTGTTTCAGGTCTGCTTTATGTTCACGGATGCGGTCCGAGACATGTCGTTTGGTTTCCCCAATGTAACTGCTACCACAGAGGCAACTTAGTTTGTAGACGCCAGGGTACTGTATGTCTGGAACCACATCTTTTACAGACGGGACCAGATCACGGATTTTATGTACTGTGTTGAATCGGACCTGGATCTTGTGTTTAATCAGGATTTTGGAGATCTTTTTTGTGACCCCAGCAATGTAGGGTAAGGTGATGGTCTTGAAAGGCTCCTCAACAGGATCCTTTTTGATGGTTGGAGTGATGGCTTTGCAGATTGTGTAGTCGGAGTAACCATTAGCCTTAGGAGCTTGGCGTACGTGTTTGAGTTCACTGGCAATGTGTTCCTGGTCGGAGATGCATTGGGCTCTATGGTATAGAGTCTTGATGAGGGAATTCTTCTGGGATAGATGGTGGTGGGAATTACCTAAAACCGGATTCCCACCACCATCCATCCCAGAAGAATTCCCTCATCAAGACTCTATACCAGGGGTCGGCAACCTACGGCTCCGGAGCCGCATGCGGCTCTTTACGGGCTGCTTCTTGACGATATGTACGTATGTACAGTATGTATTCAGATGCATTGCGGCTCTTGAAATACTGAATTTTGTACCGAATTGGAAAGAAATGGCTCTTCTTGTTATTTTGGTTGCCGACCCCTGCTCTACAGTATATAATTTAATGTTGGGTTTATCTATGGCAGTATATAATACGGTGTATGCTCGTGTGATGTAAGAGAATAAAGTTTAGATGGAAGCATATTATATAATTTTTACGACGTAGAATTGTAATGTATTACTTGCTGTTAGTAACTCAGCTTATTGTAGAGTATAGTAAGTATACTGATGGTGCTATGCAGTTTATACTTTAGTTTTTTATGTAGTTTATACTTTAGTTTCTACGTGGTTGTTTAGTAACTGCAGCTACATACTATTAACATTCCTTTCCTTTGTTAATGCTACTCCCTGCACCCTCCCTTGGTGCTGCTGATCCTGCATAATGCATGGGCATAAATGACTTTGAAACCCCCCCGCCCACCTCCTACGCATTTTACATGAATATGCTAAATTCCTCTTGATATGCACATTCTTTTTGTTAAGGCGCTCTTCTTGCACCTCCAGCCCAGCGTATATATAAGCTCCTAGCTTGGCAGTGTCTCATTCTTCACCTGAAGACGGCTGCTTGCGTTGTAGCCGAAACGTCGTGAGAATTATTTTATTTTATTATGTTTTATTTTTATTATTTTATTACTTCCCTTCTACGTGACTTTACCGAAAGAACCAAGAAGAAAAATTAACACATTAACGTGCTTATGCAATGTGTCTGAATTGTGGATATGTATTGTGCCAAGTCCTTAACAGTCGCTATAGACATTCGAAAATCAAAATGTCACAATTTGTCAAGTATCAGGCGGTAAAACTGATAAAAGAATCGTATCAATAGCTTGAATAGCTCATGAATATGCATGTTACGGAAAGTAGTAACTCGACGTATCTATCACTTGTATTGGCCAATGTGTGTTGCTATCGGAAACCATTTTGGGCAAATTAATTGCAGCATCAAAAGTATTAGGAGTTGTTTTGTACAGTAATTGTATTTCTTGGTTTAAGACCATCAATACATTACACCTGAGAAGCATGTTTAATGAAAACCAACTGAAACCAATTTCCAACCCAGGATCTCAAGATCTCGGCGGTGCAGGCTCATTGATTTGATACCTTGCCATATCTGAATGTATTTCTTCTACCTTAAACTGCTTTCAACAGCAAATTAAGGAAATCCCACTTAATGTTTAATACAAGCATCCGAAGAGGTGGCAGGTTATATTACTCCTTAAAATTCCTATTTCCTCTACAATATTTAGCATCCTAGAATTTGACCCGGTCCTGTTAATTGTGACCTACAGATAAGCCAGATGTTAAGACTTGTAGATAAGTGTGGCAAATATCAGTGGTGATATCTGAACTATCCCTGGACCACCGTTCACCAACGGTGCAAACCAGCTTGGTGAAATATGGTCAAACAACTCCCGTGACTCACAAGATGTGCGGAGACCTTCATCTGACAGTGAACAAAGGCTATGCATTAATGTTCTCCGAAACTTCCAAGCTACAAATAACACATTGTGTTATGCACACCCGCAACGCACTATCCTGCATTGTCCTGCATTAAAGTTTACATCGGTCAAATCATACTCAAGTGTATGGCCCAATGAGTTAACAAATATGTGAAGTCACGTATTATAGTATACCAATTAGGTTGAACATAGATGTAAAAACTACTTGCAAAGTTCAATTAATCATTAATTTACTCATGTGGCTGGACGGAGGTGTAATCCAGCACTATGGAGGTGAGGGATGGTGAATCTCACAAATGTTGTGAAACTCCCTTCCAGTGGGTGTCGAGGTGTCGTATCCTGGCTTGCCAGAAGACAGTACAGCAAAAATGTGGACTCCACCTATGCCGCCTGTATGGGATAGAGTGTTTCCCCCTCGCACGTGTTGGTTTTCTCTGTGCTCTCAGGTTCCCTCCAACATACAAACACTCATTCTTGGGCCAATAACACCTTAATATATAAAAGACCGCAAAGTTTGGGCAATTGTTGGCGCCAACTCATCACCCAGCTGCCTTCCTCCTTGTCTGTGGTTCTTTACGACTCTTTAGTCGTTCTCTATGAGAGTGAGTGAATACTGCACGAGTTACTAGTTAAAATTATTATGACTTGAGATCCAGTTGCATTCAGAAACTATATGAATCCAATTATGATTGTACTGCATTATAAGTATTACCATGATGTAATTCATGCTGGTGTGTGCTGGATGTGCATTTACAAACAGAAAATCCAGTGCAATCCAGGCCTGCAAAGCAGAGAAGAAAAGAAGCAACAAGATGCCAAGATGATGGAGGCCATTCAGGCAGCCGCCTATACCAATCGCAACGTGGCCAGAGATCCCATCAGACCTTTCAAGGAGTAACAGCCTGCTCTGCCATTCATCCATGACAAGGACTGTAAAGTCCTCATTCTTATACACCCCTTGGGGCAAGATTAAGATGTCATTATGGCCAAAGCCGTTGATGCCACCATATGTTCTACCCTCCTCCAGATCCTCCAACTGCTGCACAATAGACATGCGACCTCCAAGATCTGCCCTCAGTCTCCTGTCATATGGTCTTCAGCCTTCCCCTTGGTCGCTATACTCAAGGAGACCATTCCAATGCCTGTCTTGGAAACCGGCATTCCCCCACGCTGCACACCTCCCACCCAGCGCATCCTTTTTGCCTAATTATATCGAGAAAACTTACCCGCCATGCTCTCTTCTGGACTTTTTTACCACAAGATTCATTGAGTTTGCGATGTTATTGAATGCTCTATTTTGTATCTGACATTACAGTAAGATAATGGGAGATATATGCCTGCAACACATTGTTGGTTGTAATACTGTATGTTCTTATATACAAAATGTATAATGAATATTTTTAGAAACATCTATGAATGGTAATAATACAGTAATTTCACTGACATTTGCTAATGTTATCTTTTCCAATACTTATTTGAGATGGAGTCAACGTCACGGGAGGCCCAGGACCAGTTCAGATAATCGTCACTGGTGTTGGTGATGAGCGGGAATCTAACTCGATTCACCGGCTTCATAGCGCAACCCACAAATGATCATCAGTTGGCATGATAGACATGAGCTGAATAACGATAAATTAACTTCATGAAAAAAAGGCTAAATATGCATTCCCAATATGTTCACACATAGACTAAATAAGCAGCATGAATCTTGTACACCGTCAGCTGTTCACAGAACTGTGACCAAATTTCTGTTGAAGTCTCATTTCTACGTGTCGAAGTGAGAGCAAGTTGTTGCTCAAGCATTGAGGCTATGCTTATTTCCAGTTCACAGCCCTGTTACCAGTGGTGGGAATGTCACTTTCCTATGGTGGGGGCTAGTCTATCCATAAGATAACCACGGTTCACTTCCTCACAATGTGGCAATGTTATCTTCTCCGGAGGGATGAGTCAAATCCCAACCAGGATTTGAACTCGCGAACACTTAGTCACTTGGACCACCACCACTGTTGATTCAAGCCAATCAACTTTTCATATTAGTTCATGGGATCTGAAAATATATTTCATGTTGAAAGCACATTTGGTGGTACAACTTCAGTGTAAGTTTATTGATATGATCAATGAAATGTAATTATGCAATTAACCTTTTCAACGTAAATGTCTAGTGTAAGGTACAACCCTTGCAAATGCTTCCTCACGCCACTGCTGGCGGGTGTCCACAAAAGCCCTGAAGGAAATTTGGCCTACTCTTCTACGCTGCCAAACATCTTGCACCAAATACGACCTGCCAATCGACTGTACTGTACTCATACTGCTGGGTGAACAGAGGCGATGGGGAATAATATTTCCCCATTGTTTCAACTACCGTGCCAGCCGATCGAATTGAACTGACGACCTCTCAAATGGAAGTGCAGTGTACCAAACATTACACCACAGTAACATCATTTCCAAATAGGTACTGTACTTTACACTCTAAAGCACTTTGACCGACAAAAAAAGATAAAGTTCTGCTACTTGTTTTTGCATTGACCCGTCGGTTTTCAACTAGTCTTAAAATCAATCCATAAAAGCGGAACTTATTTACATACACATTGAAAAACATGCAAACAGAGAAGTTGGTTCACAGAACTGTTAAGCAATGATATTTAAAAAATGTTATGTTTAATGGCTTACTGCTTATAATAAATCAGTACAAATCAATGCAACACCTCTACTAAGCGCATATGCGAGGTTGCATGAAGCTTTCGTGACTGCAGAAATCCATACTCTGGTTCTTTCGGTAAAGTCACGTAGCTAGAAAAATTATATATCACGTTTCGATCTCAATACAAGCGATCGAAATGTGATATATTATTTTGTTTTATTTTTCTACCTACGTGACTTTACCGAAAGAACCAAAGAGTATGAATTCCTGAGGATTTGCATCAATACTGGAGGCATCAAATAACGCTAACGTATTCTTCTTGCATGCCATAGCTACTAAGGTTACTGCGACATGGCAATACTATGATATATTGTAGAATATATACACATCGAAAAAAATTCATGGTTTTCGTAAGTTGTACGGTTGTGATTTGTTTTGGGGGAAAACTTTGCATTCAGGCAGCTGAAGAGGCAAGTAGCCAAGGAGGTGCCCATGTCCAATTGCCAGTGGATGTTTACAGAGGGCTGCCAAGTGGAATGGCTGAGCCTCCAAGGCAGACGAGCCTTGGATGTGGCTTTGTCATCCCGTCAGTTGCACAGGAGGCTGCATGCCGCGCTGGCGTGATGTTATTGTCTGCCTCGCCTGGCATGCAGCAGGTCGTGGGTTCGACCCTTGACGCCTGTTGTAAATTTGGAGCTTTGCGTCCCTCTCGCCGTGGTCGCGTGGATTTTTCTCCGGAGTTTCCGGTTTTACCCTACACATTGTGAATCAACATCACACGTTTAGAGTATTTGGCTGCCATACATTTTCACGTGATAAGTCACTTCCTTGAACTATCATTTGTGACCAGGTCGCTTCTGAGAAAGAACTATACAGTAAAAATGGTACATAGTATATAGACTCCTTGCCCCCTCTTCCCATGCTCGTGTCTGAATACTGGATTCAGAAAAACCACATCCCAGTAAATGTTATCTTCCGCCTCTTCATTCCGAGTGGATGTCCTTGCTGTGAAAAGACATTTCATTCCAGCATTGTTTAAGCTGCAGTGACCAACTATTATATAAAATGCATTTGAAAATCAAAGTTTAATAACGCTGTGAATACGAGCAGAGCTCCAAATTAAGTTTGTTACGAGCAGAATTTACGTCTTGCAACCATAACTATAACCATAGCTACATTGACAAATACAACGTAACCATAACCACATTATGACAACCGTAACCACAATATAGCCACGTCGTAACTTCTTTCGCACCGTACGTAGCCAACCGCGCTAATTGGAGATTGTGGGGGAAGGACAACAAAAACGTAACCACAATCATAGCAACATTATAACGACATTGTTTACGAAAGACATAACCATAATCACCACACTAACCACAACTAAATTCGACCCACAACACCCACAAAAACACAATAGAATCACAACCAACATAACCACAACAGGCACAATTTAACCTCAACTATGGCGCATTGTGTGTGTTTAAGGCACAATCGCGAGTTTTCCCGTCAACAGGCCGAGCACAAAGCTGGGGGTGGACATGAGCAGTGACTTGTTTTTCCCGTTTTAAAACTTTCATTTACAAGAATATTTTTTATGCATATTTGCACACCTGTCACAATTTCCAGGGAATGTCCTCGATAGTAAATATTTATCGTTATACGATTACTCTTTGGTTCTTGCAGTAAAGTCACGTAGAAATAAATAAAATAGAATACGACGTTTCTATTGCAACACAAGCAACCATCATCAGGTACAAATGGTTGCTTGTGTTGCAATCGAAACGTCGCATTATATTATTATTTAACCTGGTGGATATGAGCAGGGAATTGCACTTGGATCTGGAGAAAGAATATTTCCAGGAATTGTTGGAATGCCACTCAGGAGTTGATCAACGAGGATTCGATGGAGCTGGAGTCATGAAGGGTGGATGATGAGGTCACTGAGGAGGAACAGGAGGCTGAGCAACCAAAATGGTTCAACACCGAGCAGCTGACAAGGTTTCAGCACGATTGAGAAGGCACTGGCTTGTTTTGAGTCTTATAACCCAACCACTGAAAGGTTTACTATGATGTCATCAGCTGTTCACGATGTTATTGCCTGTGACAAGTTGATTTATGAAGAGAAGAAGAGAGCAACTGTGCAGACATCTCTTGGTACGTTTTTAATGAGGAATTTATGCTATTAAAAAACGAGCCAAATTTATCAAAACGTTACATAAAACTTCAGGATAAATAAACCAACCATAGTAAATTACCATAATCAGCCATTATCAATCAACAGCTGGATGAAATCCTCCCCAAGCTGCAGTCATATCTCCCACTACTCAACAATGCAATAGTGAAGCTAGCACGAGCATCCCAGCCGATTCCGTCGATCCTTGGTAGACATCCTCTCATAATGCTGGAAAAATGGGCGAACTACACGTAAATGTAATGTTGAGTGGTGTATCATTACACAACCACCACATTACAGAACATTTCATGTCCCAGGGAGAATTAAATATTTCCCAGGACAACAGCTATATCAACACGTGCATGATCCTGGGATAACCAGGATAGGGGGGCGCCGTGGTGCCGAGATGTTAACTACCTCGCCTGGCATAGACTATAATATTAAACTTGTAATATTACACTATGTATTATTCTACCAACCCTACTGTATACCATACTGCTGTATATTCACTATGCAATTACGATACTATATATTACCTCATGAATTATATTAAACATTACACTGTTATACTATTTATTATTATACAATCTGCTATAAACCATACCATTGACCGTCGCGTAAAAGGTACTAAGAGGCAATGCCAGCGAATGGACTGCAGTCTAAAAGTCACCGTAAAATAAAATCAATCAAGACCCGAAATTGTTTATCACGTCCTTCCAATGATTGCCGAGCCAGAATCCATCTTCTCGGTTGCAATTGTCTCTGTTTGAAAGTGGATTGCCTCGTGAACGAATCTCTCATAGTAGCCGGGTGGCTTGCAGAGAACCTCCGTCTTGGAGAAGTGAATGTCATATGAACCCACTGAATTATAAGTGATCTGCCAAGGCTGAGGTGTTCGTCCTACCGTATTTCAGGTCTGCTTTATGTTCACAGATTCGGTCCGAGACATGTTGTTTGGTTTCTCCAATGTAACTGCTACCACAGAGGCAACTTGGTTTGTAGACGCCCGGGTATTGTATGTCTGGAACCACATCGTTTACAGACGGGACCAGATCACGGATGTTATGTACTGTGTTGAATCGGACCTGTATCTTGTTTGTTCAGGATTTTGGAGATCTTTTTTGGGTCACAGGTGCAGGGCCACCACCTTGTGCAACACAGGGGCAGCTGCTACTTGGGGATGCTCGAGTGTTTGAGACAAGATACGATACAAATACCCGAATTGCCAGAGGCGATTAAGCAAGCACCATATAAATGCAATTATAACATAGTGAATGCTTGGGAACTTATTGGCTCTCATTCCCGGTTAGAGATCTACGCAACCCACAGGTCCACAAAGACTGGCCGCTCTTACCCTGCAGGTTGCAACTAGGAATTGAGTGTTCAACTTCACATTCTTGTCATTAAAGGCCTGTGACAAAAGTGCATCTATTGGAACGACATCGTCTCAAGCTTACACATCTACCGGGTCTCCATTTGACTTCGTATTGTCTCGGAGGAAGTCCACCCACACCTCCACTTCCACAAACTGCTGGGAGTTGCCACGCTCTGACTCAGTCAGAATTATCCTCCTGCATCACGTTGCCTCCATCGATGTGAAGGTCCGATTTTAGAATTGAATCTTCATCTTCACACTTGACCTTCACTTCTTCGCTCTTCACCATCACCTCTTCATATTTCACCTCCACCACTTCATATTTCACCTCGATACCTTTAAAAGTGTCCAAGCTGGGATTTTCTTCCGGTTCTTGTTTAATGAGGGATGGGCTCATTGCAGCACTTTGACTTTCACAAGCTGATTTCAGACTCCACTCCTTGTGGATCTTCTGATGCCTGTTTGTTCTCTGGTGTACATGAAGATTTGATAAAAGTGCAAACGCCTTCCCGCACGGAGTGCACCTGAAGGGTTTCTCTGCCGTGTGTGTTCTCTGGTGTTTTACAAGAGCCTGTGACCGTGCAAACGCCTTCCCACACACACTGCACTTGAAGGGTTTCTCTCCCGTGTGTGTTATCTGGTGTGTTACAAGACTAGAGGACTGTGAAAACGCCTTCCCACACACACTGCACCTGAAGGGTTTCTCTCCCGTGTGTGTTCTCTGGTGTGCTACAAGAGTAGATGACTGTGCAAATGCCTTCCCACACATTCTGCACTTGAAGGGTTTTTCTCCCGTGTGTGTTCTCTGGTGTTCTACAAGAGATGACTTTGCAAACGCCTTCCCACACACACTGCACTTGAAGGGTTTCTCTCCTGTGTGAGTTCTCTGGTGCTGTGTCAAATGTCCAGGACGATCCGTGCTGTATGAACACTGGTCGCATTGTTGCCTTGTCGCACCGAGCTGTGCCGAGTGCCTTTGCTCCATCAGACCAATTTTGCAGAGGAAGCGACAGAGGAAGCGTCAGCTGCAGACAGAAAAAAAAATATCCACACCATCTACACGTCAGTAACGAGGCACAGAGAAATGCCTATATACAGTCACACGTGACTTACACGTTTATACCTATTCATATATTCATGATATAGTGAAAAAGTTTCCCAAACTCATCACACGGGCTGTTATGGCACACAATGAGGGCAAATGGTCACAAATTTCGGCTGTCTGGCTACAAAAGGAATATTTATGAAAGCTAAATTAAGTTGACATAGCAAAAGGTGTTGAAAATAATACTCTTTGTGTTATGCAGAAATGCATAAATTAATGTTCAATTGCAACTTAGAGGTGTGAAGCCAGCCAGACTCACGATGTCCTTGAATGCTGGGATGAACAGATCTGAATTCAGCTGCATGTGTGCTGTGTTAACTTCTTGACCGTTTCCATTCTTACACAGAGTGCCAGAGGAAAACTAAAATAATCTACAGCTTTTATATAACCTCCGTGTTCCATAGAGTTCATAGATTTTACTGCAAACACAAACTTTACACTGTCACACACTGGCATGGTTCACAAGTGATGGTGTGTCCAGACCCATGCCTGGCCACCTTCATCCGCTCAGTATGAATGCTTCCTCACTCCACCAAGAAATTCATTGAGGATCAATCAACATCGTCGAGGCTGCGTGTCTCTCTCTCACTCCGTGGTGAGATGTTAACTACCTCTCCTGACATACAGGAAGTCGTGGGTTCGATCCCAACCCTGACGCCGGCTGTATATTTGGAGTTTGCGTGCCTCTCTCTCTCCCCGTGGCCGTGTCCCCCGGTTGTCCCCACTCCACATGCAGAGTGTGAACACCGCCACGCTGTTGACAAGCCTCACCTTGTTGTTGTTGTGGGAAGGTCGCTTCTGAAAACAAGCGCGGTATAGCAGCTCAAGCGGGCTTGGCCTGGTATAAAACATTCAATAAAAACTGTGAGAATATTAAAAGTAAAACAAAGTAAACTTAAGCGAGACAATTGAAGCAAACGCGACCAGGCGAGGGCAGGAGGCAAGGCCCCGCGTGGCTAGGCCCCGCGTTGTAAAGTTCCAACGTGGACATCGCTTCCATGCTCGCTGCTACTCAATTGACATCCCTACGAGAGAGAGAGCGAGGCTCTACCTCGGTAAACAACAACCACCACCACAACCACCACCACAAACGCGATGGTAATTTCTCACCTCGGATTTCAGTGCAAGCGCGGAGCGGCAACTTCCTGTTACCTCGTGACGTCACGCGGCAGCAGCTGACATGACGTCACTTGCTGGGTACGATAACACTCCCCTCCCACAACGAACGGCTCTGTAACTTAAATAAATAATGTTAATGAGCCCAGCCCATACGTGGAGGGATGGGGCGTGGGTGCGGAACCCGTCGAAAAATACTCGCGACGGCTTTCACGAATACATAATGTTAGTGAGCCGCCAGCCACCAGGCGTAGCTTTGCCCAAATAAGGATTGGCACTGAACAGATATAGAGGGTGGGGCGAATACCTTGGTGACATGTCGTCACTACCACCTCCCCTGGCGTTTGACGCCGATGAGGTCACGCTGAACGGTGACGTCAGAGCAGGGTCAGAGTTCAAGTTTGTTGACAGTTCTTTTCTTCAGTTTTCATTTATTTGGTTTAGCCCTGTGAGCTATTTGGCTCTTGAATCGGGTGCAACCGCAACAAACAAAACAACTTGAACAAGAAAACATCTTAAAGTGACAATGTGACTGTGCAAACAGAAAATCCAGGAAAAAATAGCAAAATATTCCAGAATAAGCACCGTACACCAATGCTGTGTGCAAAAATCCCAGTGGGATGCAAGTCAAACAACAACAACAACCACAAGACAACTTAGATTCAGGCCATAAGTTTAACTCCGTACTATAACAAACAAACATGACAAACCAAAAAACTTTTCGAGATCACCAAAATAAAGCCATAAAAGCAATGTAACGGGGATCATAGGAACTGTGACCGAAATTTCCCAATAAACGACATAAACAACATGTACCACCAAACCCTGCAGCCATAGCTGGCTACATGAGTCACTCCACGATAGCAGGACAGAAGGGGAGCGGCAGTGTCGTGGTGAGCGCTGCGCTCCGCACCCGACCAGCCGAGTTCCATTCCCGCTCGTGGCCAACACCGCCAGTGACGATTTTCTGAACCGGTCCTGAGCCTCCCCTACGTCGACTCAGCCTCAAACGAGTACCCGGTGCGGTGTGTCAACATCGCCACTAGGGAGACAAAGGCGGCCGGGTGTGATGCTGGCAACACACCCCCTCGTGTGCCGTCCCACCCTTAATAGGTGCTCGCTAACAGCACTTGCCCCTACAGTCTGTCCAGGCTATACGGGGGATCTTTGTCTGTGTGTTGGGAGCAAGTTTGAGTGGCGTGTAGTCGTGGGAGTTGAACAGGCGCCTGCTGCTACTGATAGTCGTTGACTGCGGTGGGACAGACGCTGATAGGCAGACAGACAGACAAGACAGGCGGACAGACAGACAAGAGGAACACAGAGACGACAGACACACAGACAGGCAGAGAGAGACACAGAAGCGAACAGAGACACAGACGGACAGAGAGACGTTGAATCGAACACACTGAACTCGCTCTATTGAAAGAGATTCCTCGATCTTTGCCCATCCCCGGAAGTCGTTCTAGTTTCTATTTATTTCATTGTGTGTGGTGTGTACGTGTAAGCAATGTGGGACATCGATGTAGACAGATATGAATAAGATCAGCAGACAATACGGCTTTCATTTATCGATCTCTCCACGACACAAAGGAATGTTTTACACACTATAACTAGCACAGCCTTCTGGGAGAGCATCATTGATTCAGTGCAAGCCACCTGTGGACCCTTATTGGTGTGTAATGTGAGGATATATCCGGGTTGCTGATGGATCACACCTCGTTACGATGATTGGCTCTACCGGTCCTGGCCCTCACGTAATAGGAAGGTGACATCTGTAAGTAGAGGATTGGATCTGCTGGCTTTAGCCACAGCCAATGGTGGGACGAGTCAGGGGCGCGGTCCTGGGAACGTACGATGGAGTCTCGAAGATTCCATAGAGGTTAACCAGGATTGGTGCAAGATTGGTGGAAAGGTACCACGTGACCCGGGTATTAAAAGGGGTGGGATGGACAAGACGTGGTCAGATCTGGAACGGAGGGTGAGGCCACGCTGGAGCGGGGTCCAGGCTGCCACGTGGCCGCGCGCGTCTCTCTCTCTCTCTCATGCTGTCTGTCTGCAGCGTGAAGGAGTAAGATAGGAGTGTTGTGAACGAAAGACAAATAAAGACCGGATACCAGAAGTCGCTTCCACGACCTTTATTACAGGTACATAGCGTCTCAACAGCAGCCGGGCTTGCTTCAACCGATGATTACAAACATCCAGACGTTAATCAGCAAGGAGTATTCCTAGTCCTAGTTCGACAAAATCTACGTCAACACGTAATACAAAATTATAATTCGTGTTGTAGAGAATGTACCTCCTATACGTGTAACTTTTGAGTGGTATGCCTTGTAACTGATGAATGATCCGAGTGTGCTCCCTATTTAAAAAGACAATGAGTTGCTCTAGAGGGAGATGCTTCCTGAAAACACAAAAATACCCTTTGACCTGTGTCACAAGAACAATGAGTCTCACCCGAGTTATCTGTACAGGTTACTTCCAAAACACGCTTTGTCCTAACATCACTTATTCAATGTTTGACCCTCATAGACAAAATGTTACATGTACACACACAATCTGACAAGTATTCATTCTAAATTAATGACAATCATTTTAACTAAGTTAAATTACTGCACTGAAATATGCTGCATCAGGTTACATCGTATTAAGATATAAAAAAAATACTGTCTGGTTAACAGTGTATGTACAACATACTATTGCGCCATTCAAAACGAGGCCATTGCATGTTGACGTCTGGGTCAAAATTTATCAAATTCTAAACATTACCTACAAACTACACAACTAAGATGCCACATCAACCATCGCCCCCTACCGACAGGCTCTTGTCCTCATGCAGGCCGGTGCAGAGCCAACACCTTGTGCCACACAGGGGCAGCTGCTACTTGGGGATGCTCTTCGAGTGTTTGAGACGAGATACAATGCAAAACTCCAAATTGCCCAGGCGATTAAGCAAGCACCATATAAATGCAATTATGATAACATAGCAAATGCTTTGGAGCTTATTGACTCTCGCTCCTGGTTAGAGATATACGCAGCCTACAGGTTCACAAAGACTGGCCACTCTTACACATCTACCGGGTCTCCATTTGACTTTGTATTGTCACGGAAGTCCACCCACACCTCCACTTCCACAAACTGCTGGAAGTTGCTTCGCTCTGCTCAGTCAGAATTCTCCTCCTGCTTCACGTTGCCTCCATCAATGCGAAGGTCCGATTTTGGAGTTGAATCTTCATCTTCACATTTTACCTTCACTTCTTCGCTCTTCACCATCACCTCTTCATATTTCACCTCGATACCTTTAAAAGTGTCCAAGCTGGGATATTCTTCCGGTTCTTGTTTGATGAGGGATGGGCTCATTGCAGCACTTTGACTTTCACAAGCCGATTTCAGATGCCACTCCTTGTGGATCTTCTGATGCTTATGTGTTCTCTGTCTTTGAAGATTTGGTGAAAGTGTAAACGCCTTCCCGCACGTGTGTGTTCTCTGGTGTGTTACAAGAGTAGATGACTGTGCAAACGACTTCCCACACATACTGCACTTGAAGGGTTTCTCTCCCGTGTGTGTTCTCTGGTGTTCTACAAGAGTAGATGACTTTGCAAAGGCCTTCCCACACACACTGCACTTGAAGGGTTTCTCTCCCGTGTGTGTTCTCTGGTGTTCTACAAGAGCAGATGACTGTGCAAACGCCTTCCCACACACACTGCACTTGAAGGGTTTCTCTCCTGTGTGGGTTCTCTGGTGTATTACAAGAGCATATAACTGTGCAAACGCCTCCTCACACACACTGCACTTGAAGGGTTTCTCTCCCGTGTGTGTTCTCTGGTGTGTTACAAGAGTAGATGAATGTGCAAACGCCTTCCCACACACACTGCACTTGAAGGGTTTCTCTCCCGTGTGTGTTCTCTGGTGTGCTACAAGAGGAGATGACTGTGCAAACGCCTTCCCACACACACTGCACTTGAAGGGTTTCTCCCCCGTGTGTGTTCTCTGGTGTTTTACAAGAGGAGATGACTGTGCAAACGCCTTCCCACACACACTGCACTTGAAGGCTTTCTCTCCTGTGTGTGTTCTCTGGTGTATTACAAGAGTAGATGAAAGTGCAAACGCCTTCCCACACACACTGCACTTGAAGGGTTTCTCTCCCGTGTGTGTTCTCTGGTGTTCTACAAGAGTAGATGAATGTGCAAACGCCTTCCCACACACACTGCACTTGAAGGGTTTCTCTCCCGTGTGTGTTCTCTGGTGTATTACAAGAGCAGATGACTGTGCAAACGCCTTCCCACACACACTACACTTAAAAGGTTTCTCTCCTGTGTGTGTTCTCTGGTGTATTACAAGAGCACATGACTGTGCAAACGCCATCCCACACACACTGCACTTGAAGGGTTTCTCTCCCGTGTGTGTTCTCTGGTGTGCTACAAGAGTAGATGACTGTGCAAACGCCTTCTCACACACTCTGCACTTGAAGGGTTTATCTCCCGTGTGGGTTCTCTGGTGTTCTACAAGAGTAGATGAAAGTGCAAACGCCTTCCCACACACACTGCACTTGAAGGGTTTCTCTCCCATGTGAGTTCTCTGGTGCTGTTTCAAATGTCCAGGACTATCCGTGCTGTATGCACACTGGTCGCATTGTTGCCTTGTCGCACCGAGCTGCGCCGAGTGCCTTTGCTCCATCAGACCAATTCTGCAGAGGCAGCGACAGCTACAGACAGAAAAAAAAATCCACACCATCTATACGTCAGTATCGAGGCACAGATGAATGCATATACACAGTCACACGTGACTTACACGTCTATACTTATTTATATATTCATAATATAGTGAAAAAGTTTCCCAAATTCATCACACGGGCTGTAATGGCACACAATGAGAGGGCAAATGGTCACAAATTTCGGCTGTCTGGCTACAAAAGGCATATTTATGAAAGCTAAATTCAGTTGACATAGCAAAAGGTGTTGAAAATAATACTATTTGTGTTATGCAGAAATTTATAAATTCATGTTCAATCGCAAATTAGAGGTGTGTTGTGTATATATAGACCTTTTCCAAAAATGTATAAAAATAATTCGACCCATTTTTTTTTCTTAAATAATACATAAATAAATGAAACCAACACTCTCAACTCCGCTACCCCTCACAAGCCACACCAAGCAATTGGAGGTAAAAAAAAATATTAAACAACAAACTTCGGGGCAAAGAGGGGTTAGCGACTATCTGGAAATCTCCAGGCTGACAGATTACCATATGACATCACCTCCCCGGACGTTTTGGATAGTTCACAAACATCTCCAGAGCACATAGCAGAGACAAACGGACGTTACAACTCGCATTTTTCGATTTAAAGCTTTCGTGACTGCAGGGATTCATCTTCTTGGTTCTTTTGGTAAAGTCACGTAGAAGGGACGTAGTAAAATAATAAAAATAAAACATAATAAAATAATTCTCACGACATTTCGGCCACAACGCAAGCAGCCGTCTTCAGGTGAAACCAGGTCTGTCGAGGCGACAGCGTCTGGTTTTCACCTGAAGACGGCTGCTTGCGTTGTGGCCGCAACGTCGTGAGAATTATTGTATTATGTTTTACTTTTATTATTTTATTACTTCCCTTCTACGTGACTTTACCGAAAGAACCAAGAAGACGAATCCCTGCAGTCACGAAAGCTTTAAATCGAAATTTGACTCACCTTGTTGTTGTGGGAAGGTCGCTTCTGAAGACAAGAGAGGTATAGCAGCTCAAGCGGGCTTGGCCTGGTATATAAAAAAAGAAAAACTGTGAGACTATTAAAAGTAAAACAACGTTACAAAGTGGCGAGCCGTGTGAAGACAAATTAAACTTAAGCGAGAGAATTGAAGCAAACGCCATCAGGCGAGGGCAGGAGGCAAGGCCCCGCGTTGAAAATTTCCAACCTGGACATCGCTTCCATGCTCGCTGATACCCAAATGACATCCCTACGAGAGAGAGCGAGGCTCTACCTCGGTAAACAACAACAACAACCACCACCACCACAACCACCACAAACGCGATGAGAATTTCTCACCTCGGATTTCAGGGAACGGGAGGAGCGGCAACTTCCTGTTACCTCGTGACGTCACGCGGCAGGAACAGGTGACATGACGTCACTTGCTGGGTACGGAGACACTCCCCTCCCAACGTGCGGCTGTAACTTAAATACATTTGTTTTTTAAAGCTTTCATGACTGCAGGGATTCATATTATTGGTTATTTCGGTAAAGTCATGTAGAAGGGAAATAATAAAATAATACAAACATAAAACAATAAAAATTCTCACGACGTTTCGACTGCAACACAAGCAATCATCATCACGACAAACCGCCACTTTTTTCAAATTTTATTTCTTTGGCTTTCACACCTGATGATGATTGCTTGTGTTGCAGTCGAAACGTCGTGAGAATTTTTATTGTTTTATGTTTGTATTATTTTATTTCCCTTCTACGTGACTTTACCGAAAGAACCAAGAAAATAAATAAATTATGTTAATGAACCCCGCCCATACGTAGAGGGATGGGCCGTGGGTGCGGAACTCGTCGCAATAAACTCGCGACGGCGTCCACGCACACGGCATGCTAATGAGCCGCCTGGCACCGGGTGGAGCTTTGCCCAAATAAGGATTGGAACAGAAATCGGCAGCGGCCAAGCAGAGATGACGTCACGCTCAAAGAGCTGGGTGGTCGGCATGAGGGACATGACGTCACTAGCGAGGCACACCTCCCCCTGGCGTTTAACGCCGATGAGGTCACGCTGAGCGGTGACGTCAGAGAGCGGGGTCGGAGTTCAAGTTTGTTGGCAGAAGGGGAGCGGCAGTGTCGTGCTGAGCGCTGCGCTCCGCACCGACCAGCCGAGTTCCATTCCCGCTCGTGGCCAACACCGCCAGTGACGACTTTCTGAGCCGGTCCTGAGCCTCCCCTACGTATTCTCAGCCTCAAATGAGTTCCCCCTGCGGTGTGCAGTCAACATCGCCATTGGGGAGGCAAAGGTGGCCGGGCGTGGTGCTGGCCACCCACCCCCCCCCTCGTGTGCCGACCCACCTTTAATAGGTGCTCGCTAACAGCACTTGCCCCTACAGTCTGTCCAGGCTATACGGGGGATCTTTGTGTGTTAGGTGCCCACTAACAGCACTTGCCCCAACATTCTGTCCAGGCTATAACGGGGATCTTTGTCTTTGTGTTGGGAGCAAGTTTGAGTGGCGTGTAGTCGTGGGAGTTGAACGGGCGCCTGCTGCTACTGATAGTCGTTGACTGCGGTGGGACAGACGCTGATAGGCAGTAGGGGTCGGCACGGTTTGAACCGACTCAAACTGGTTTCAAATTGAGCAAACCAAACCAAACCAGCGACGACAACCAAACCAAACCAAAACCAAACTAAGCTAAACCAAACCTCTTGAGTTGGCTTGAACCGAAAAGATGCGCGGCAAACAATATTCGCATTCAATACAAATATCAAGTGTATTAATCGCTAATTTCTACGCAGGCTTTCTTCATATTGAGATTCACTAGCAAGTACTGGACGACGATGTCGTCCACAGCCATCTCCTCAAGCTTGGCACGCCCAATGTCCTTGAACGCAGTGTGGTAGTTCAATGGCAGTGAAACCCCAACACTAGGCAACATCCGCGCCCACGAGCGCACACACATCTCGGCCTTGAACGTGCACTTGTGTAGGTTTGGTCGGTCGAGAAAGGAGCGCTTGGCGGCCGAGTTTGCTCTCTCGGAGGGCACGGACGACGCCGGGATAGGCAAATAGTCGAGGGCCACGCGTCGTAGGCGCGGGTACTTGCCGCCGTACAGCTTCCACCACTCGACGACGTCCATGCTCAGGTCCTGAGTCGGCTCAAGCAGGAAGCGGTCGACCTCGGAGGCGGCGCCGTCGTGAGCGTTGGGCGCGTAGACCATGTCAAAGAGGATGTTAATGCCGCCACGCGGCGCCGCCTTCGGCGCCGCGTCCGTCGTCAACGCTGGGTAGCGCTGGTTGAGAATGTCCGTCATCATGTCCTTGATATTGCTGTACTCGGTGCTCGAGGCCGCGGGCTTGGGGTGGCGCAGGTTGAGAAAGCGGGCGACGCGGCTCGGGACACACGGGCCTTCTTGGGCTTGGGCTGCGTCGCGGTCTGCAGCGCTGCGGCGCCGAGGGTGCGCATGAGGCTCTGCCGCGTGTCGCCGCGCGTGGCGTCCAGGCTCTCACGTTCGCTCGCCATCGGCTCCTCGTCGCTACCGGCGTGTTTGGTCTCTTCCACGTCGTGGATGAGATACCTTGTGATGCTGGAGCCGCCGGGGATGGCGCCGTCTTGAGCCGCTCGAGCCATGGAGATGCAATTGCAAAGTGAATTCGCAGGCAAAGGCAACTACAGCATGTCCTTTCGTGTCGCCTTTACAACCAACCAAACTAATTTGAGCCGGTTCCACCCTGTCCGAGCCAAACCGAGTCGGTTTTCGTAGCCCCAAACCAAACCGAACTAGTTCAAACAGAGCCAAACCAAACCGATTTGGTTCGGTTCAAACCGCGGTTTGGTGGTTTGAGCCAAACCGTGCCGACCCCTAATAGGCAGACAGACAGACAAGACAGGCGGACAGACACAGACAAGAGGAACACAGAGACGACAGACACACAGACAGGCAGAGAGAGACACAGGCGAACAGAGACACAGACGGACAGAGAGACGTTGAATCGAACACACTGAACTCGCTCCATTGAAAGAGATTCCTCGATCTTTGCCCATCCCCGGAATTCGTTCTAGTTTCTATTTATTTCATTGTGTGTGGTGTGTAGTGTAAGCAATGTGGGATATCGATGTACACGGATATGAACAAGATCAGCAGACAAGACGTCTTTCATACTCTTTTGTTCTTTCAGTAATGTCACAAAATATAAATCACGTTTCGATCGCAACACGAGCAGTCGTCCTCAGGCGAAAACATCCAGACATTGTCGCGGCAGAAGTCACGTGAGCTGCGGCACGTGACAAAGATGAGGTGACCCCCCCACCCCCGGGCTCGCCCCGCTCAGCTGAGCATTGTTTTAATGCGGTGGGCTCACGCGAAATTGATATCTGTAAGAGGAAGTTAGTTTGAAAACCCACTGGCTATACTCTTTTATATAAGCGCACAACTTCATCTGTGACGAATGCTGCACTTTCTGTCGTTTTTTATGCATGAACGACGGAGGCGCAGGGACACGTTTGATCACGTTGGTATCGATCTGCAGATGACGGTCTTCTCACACGGCCAGCTCTGTCGCATTATCTCGTTCCCGCGATCCCAACCATGTGAAAGTCCGCATCGAACCGAATCCCTGGCAAGGCCATCTACTTCACGAGAGAATTCACGCGAAGTGTTTTCAATTAAGTCTTCCAGATGTAAAATGATATAAGCTTACAAATTCAAAAATAATACAATTCAAAGACGTTCCATTTTAAAACTTCAAAACGGTGCAACGGGAGCTTGCGTGGATGCGTCGTTCGTGTGCAATTTGTTTCGTGACTTTCCTGGCCGAAAGCCGTAAATGGTTGTGAGGGGCGCCGCAGGCGGTCCCGCTTGCTTCAACCCCATGGTTGTGAACATCCAGACGTCAATCGGCAAGGACCATTTCTTGTCCTAGTTCGCCAACATATAAGACGTCATGCAAAATTCTAATGAGTGTTGTTGTGCAGAATGCATCTACTAGATTTGCTCTGCCGTGTAACCGAATATAAATCTGTACCAAAAATGCATTTCAAATGTGCTCTTAAAATTACCTCCTTGCTATGAAGCAGATCAACAGACACGACATCTTTCATTTATCGATCTCTCCACAAAACAAAGGAATGTTTTACACAAACTATAACTAGCACAGACTTCTGGGAGTGCATCATTGATTCAGTGCAAGTCACCTGTGGACCCTAATTGGTGCACAACGTCTCAAGAGCAGCCGGGCTGCTTCAACCGATTGTTACGGACATCCAGACGTTAATCAGCAAGGAGCATTTATAGTGCTAGTTAGACAAAATCTATGTCAACACGCAATACAAAATTATAATTCGTGTTGTCGAGAATGTATCTCCTCTACGTGTAACTTTTAAGTGGTATGCCTTGTAACTGATGAATGATCCGAGTGTGCTCCCTATTTTAAAGACAATGAGTTGCTCCAGAGGGAGATGCTTCCTGAAAACACAAACGTACCCTTTGACCTGTATCACAAGAACAATGAGTCTCACCTGAGTTATCTGTCCAGGTTAATTCCAAAACATCACTTATTCAATGTTTGACCCTTATAGACAAAATGTTACATGTACGCACACAATCGGACAAGTATTCATTCTAAATTATTGACATGCATATTAACAAAATGTAATTACTGCACTGAAATATACTGCATCAGGTTACACCGCATGAACAAGCTATTTAAAAAAAAATTGCATCGTCTGCTTAAGTGTGTGTACAACATACTATTGCTCCATTAAAAAACGAGTAGGCCATTGCACGCTGGCGTCTGGGTCAAAATTGAGCAAATTGTAAACATTACCTACAAACTACACAACTGAGATGCCACATCAACCATCACCCCCTACTGACCGGCTCTTGTCCACATGCAGGCCGGTGCACGGCCACCACCTTGTGGCACATAGGGGCAGCTGCTACTTGGGGATGCTCTTCGAGTGTTTGAGACGAGATACGATGCAAAACTCCGAATTGCCGAGGAAATTAAGCAAGCACCATATAAATGCAATTGATAACATAGCGAATACTTGGGAGCTTATTGGCTCTCGCTCCTGGTTAGAGATCCACCCAACACACAGGTCCACAAAGACTGGCCGCTCTTACCCTGCAGGTTGAACCTAGCAATTGAGTGTTCAACTTCACATTCTTGTCATTAAAGGCCTATGACAAGGGTGCATCTATTGGAGCGACATTGTCTCAAGTTTACACATCTCCCAGGTCTCCATTTGACGTTGTATTGTCTCGGAGGAAGTCCACCCACACCTAAACTTCCACAAACTGCTGGGAGTTGCCTCGCTCTGCCTCACAGTCAGAATTCTCCTCCTGCTTCACGTTGTCTCCATCGATGTGTAACAATTGCATATCCTTGTGTTTCAGTATTTATTTGACAGCATAGTCACAATGAGACTGCTTCCACAGCCTCGTCAGTCGAAACAGCTTTCACCTCGTTACAGTCGAAACGGCCTTCACCTCGTTACAGTCGAACCGACCTTCGTGTGGACATTCCTTCAGATGTCCTTAAGGGGAAAAAGCCTGCTTAGCTTTTTTTCCCAAGGGTAAAACAGTTTGTACTTATTTTTTGTTGTCTAGTAACCTATTTTTGCACGGTGCAACTGGCAGTCTCTCTAGATGTTTTATATATTTGACCTTTTAACATTCTGCCCATACCTCAGTCGCCAACGAGTCAGGAATGCGAGGTGTAACCGTGCTGCCAACTGGCCCGCCACCACAAAGTTGGGAATTGTCACCAGATATAAAAATACAGCGCTCATGATGGACGACTCGTCACACAGTCTCTTTCTTAATGGTGCAGATTCATTTTTGATTTGCAGGCATCACTTGTTTTACATGTACACACGAACCAAAAAAGCCTAATTTATTTAACAAAAGTGTAAAAAAAACTTACAATGTGTAAAAAGTTTAACGAATTTTGTTTTTACTTGTTGCTGATTTCGTGACCATTTAAATATGAAGTAAAAAATATTCCTGGTATACAATTATATATACATACTTTATATATAATCAACACGTATGCACGCATACACGTGCACAAACCATGAAAATGTCGCCACCTCAAAATGTAGTTGTTTATATTTCACAACTGAAAGCTGGAACTTTTATGTCCTGGAAAGATTTCCCCAGTAAAGCAGCTACAAAAAGAGAACAATCGTGAGAAAACCAAGACAAGTGGCAACATTAGTCCCTATGCACAAACAAGCGGGGAGAGACGCCAAAGCACTTTTTCCATTTGCCCATCAGAGGTGAACGCGCAGTTTTCATGTACTAATAATAAACTACGCCTTAACCTAAGTGGAGCAATGCGTCTGACGCGTGTTTGACGTGTCTTAAATCAAATAATATTCCTTTATTTCTTAGTTGCACAAAACGGTTTCCAAAGTAACATCTCGTTTTTACTTTATCACGTTGTCACACCGTCAACAGACTGTCCACCTGCTCCATTGTAGGGTCCTCCTGGCTTACGTTTAACTGTCAGACCCGAAGTTATTCTTTTTTGATTCACTTAATTTCCATTTATTATTTTATTATTTTTTCTATCTCCGTGACTTTACCGAAAGAACCATAGAAAATTACGTCATGGGTTCAACTAACGGAGCATCTAACCAAGGGGGACTTTAAACAGTTCGATTATTCCAAGTCAAATATTCCCAATCTTTAACAAATGTACATCAAATGTATACACAGAAATAATACATTCACTTTCTGTCCTATGGCTCTTACACGAGGTGTGTCAAGATGGGGCCAGCATGGCAGGGTTGGTTTCCCACTGGCATTTTACCAAGCCAGAACTGAACCATGCCATGCTGGCCTCACATGTCATCTGAATCTACAGTGAGGGAAAAAAGTATTTGATCCCCTACTGATTTTGTACGTTGCCCACTGACAAAGAAATGATCAATCTATAACTTTAATGGTAGGTTTGTTTGAACAGTGAGAGACAGAATAGGAACAAAAAATCCAGAAAAACGCATGTCAAAAATGTTATAAATTAATTAGCATTTTAATGAGGGAAATAAGTATTTGACCCCTCTGCAAAACATGACTTAGTACTTGGTGGCAAAACCCTTGTTGGCAATCACAGAGGTCATACGTTTCTTGTAGTTGGCCACCAGGTTTGCACACATCTCAGGAGGGATTTTGTCCCACTCCTCTTTGCAGATCTTTTCCAAGTCATTAAGGTTTCGAGGCTGACGTTTGGCAACTCGAACCTTCAGCTTCCTCCACAGATTTTCTATGGGATTAAGGTCTGGAGACTGGCTAGGCCACTCCAGGACCTTAATGTGCTTCTTCTTGAGCCACTCCTTTGTTGCCTTGGCCGTGTGTTTTGGGTCATTGTCATGCTGGAATACCCATCCACGACCCATTTTCAATGCCCTGGCTGAGGGAAGGAGGTTCTCACCCAAGATTTGACGGTACATGGCCCCATCCATCGTCCCTTTGATGCGGTGAAGTTGTCCTGTCCCCTTAGCAGAAAAACACCCCCAAAGCATAATGTTTCCACCTCCATGTGTGACGGCGGGGATTGTGTTCTTGGGGTCATAGGCAGCATTCCTACTCCAAACATGGCGAGTTGAGTGTATGCCAAAGAGCTCCATTTTGGTCTCATCTGACCACAACACTTTCACCCAGTTATCCTCTGAATCATTCAGGTGTTCATTGGCAAACTTCAGACGGGCATGTATATGTGCTTTCTTGAGCAGGGGGACCTTGCGGGCGCTGCAGGATTTCAGTCCTTCACGGCATAGTGTGTTACCAACTGTTTTCTTGGTGACTATGGTCCCAGCTGCCTTGAGATCATTGACAAGATCCTCCCGTGTAGTTCTGGGCTGATTCCTCACCGTTCTCATGATCATTGCAACTCCACGAGGTGAGATCTTGCATGGAGCCCCAGGCCGAGGGAGATTGACAGTTCTTTTGTGTTTCTTCCATTTGCGAATAATCGCAGCAACTGTTGTCACCTTCTCACCAAGCTGCTTGGCGATGGTCTTGTCGCCCATTCCAGCCTTGTGTAGGTCTACAATCTTGTCCCTGACATCCTTGGAGAGCTCTTTGGTCTTGGCCATGGTGGAGAGTTTGGAATCTGATTGATTGATTGCTTCTGTGAACAGGTGTCTTTTATACAGGTAACAAGCTGAGATTAGGAGCACTCCATTTAAGAGTGTGCTCCTAATCTCAGCTCGTTACCTGTATAAAAGACACCTGGGAGCCAGAAATCTTTCTGATTGAGAGGGGGTCAAATACTTATTTCCCTCTTAAAAATGCAAATCAATTTACAACATTTTTGACATGCGTTTTACTGGATTTTTTTTGTTCTTATTCTGTCTCTCACTGTTCAAATAAACCTACCATTAAAATTATAGATTGATCATTTCTTCGTCAGTGGGCTAATGTACAAAACCAGCAGGGGATCAAATACTTTTTTTCCCTCACTGTAGCTCAGATTCAGACCACGCTTGATGCTGGGCTAATGATGGATGCAATGCATCTGTCATTCGTCAGCACACGACTAAATACAGCGACAACACGTCATGTCCGTGCGTTTTGACGTCACATGTTGTCTATGACGTCATTGGCATGGCTCAGCTTGCACTCGCTTGGCATTGCCTGCTGCACGTTTTGGAAGTACAGCCAGTGGTGGGAATTATTTATTCCTGTAATGGAGACGAGTCTCCAGGCTGAGCAACCACTGCTTACTTCCCACCAGGTGATATAGCTTCACCAGAGGGTGCTCACTTTACTTATCAGAGAGGGATATAAGAATGTTGCCAATGGTTTATTCAAGACAACACCAAAGAGATTCATGACCTTTTAGGTGCATTCATAATTGGGATGTTTTCCCAATACTGTACTGTACCAATCACAAATATTAGTAATAACAAGCGAAACGTCGTACTCAAAAATTGTAAATGTTGTGGATTCACTCAACATATCGGTGGGCTAAAGTAGTGAACTATTTGTCTTTTGTCAACGTGACACATTTTTTACTGATTGGCTGTGTCGGGTGGTGGAGGGTTGTGACACATTTATATATAACGCGATCTAACCCAAAACCCTTTATGATTAATATTGGTCGCAAAAGCCTACGTGTTAAACTGATCTTAGATGTAGTTGGGATACCTACACTTTTCCTGACTACACGTAACCCTCCAATCAACTGGGGTGTAGCCGTTTACACTGCTGGTTGGAGAGAGACAACGGTTAACTCCACTACGTGGAGAAAATGTACACATAGCGAGGGTTAACATTCACTACGACCATCTCCTGGCCACTTTGTGTAGCATCTGTTTCCGAACAGGATGAACAACTGGTTCTCATGGCTGCTTTAGTCCTGACATCTTGAAATCTCTGGTGGTCACCCATTCAAATAGTAACGAGATTCAACTGTGCTTAGTTTCCAATATCCGATGAGATCGGTGCATTTAAAGAGTGCTTTGGTCATTGGATGATGGGCTGATTGGGGACACATTTGATCACATGAATTAAAATGTGTGTAATATGCTTTATAAACAGATGTATACAGTTACTCCTGTAGAGTATTAACTTCATAATTAATATCTGATATCCTGCATGCAGAGCTTCAACAATGCTTTGTGAGCAAAATCCTGTGAGCTAAATTGAAAAGGGAAAGCTTATAGTGCTATCCATTCAAATCAATCCAGCTACTCACATCATATGACAAGAACAAACTGAAATGTAATTCTGTGTAAGATATGTTTATATGCATGCGTAAACATGCTGCACAAAGATTTAGTGAGTTTATAAGTGAAATAAAAAATGCCGCTTTGAAGTTTTAGACTAATCCAATCAAAATTCTGCTTTGCAGCATTATCGTTTTACATTTTTTCTGAGGCTACACATCAAATGAGACAATATACTGTCGCAATAGCTTAACAGTGCTAAAGTGGACATGTTTGTATATGTTTTTTCGTGTAAAAGTTACACATGCATAGTCAAATTGTGCATGTAAACGTACCATTATTCTAACAATACACAAAAGCAAATGAAAAGTTTTATAGGAACATTAATTATTTATTCATCATTCATTCACTTATAAATTTTATACACTGTATAGTGACACTTCAAATAAAAAAACAAGTTTCAAGCTTGATTACAAAGTCACTTCCTTATGCACCAAAATGCCATATTTTGAATATAGTTTTGCATAGAAAAATAAGAGAGCAGCACCACTATGACAGAACGTGTTTTCAACAAACGCGCACACACTTTGGAATTACGACTGCGCAGGTTTTCACGGTTGTGCCACACAGCTCTAAGACGTGTTTCCTTTTTGAGCAGCACGTTGTCCATCGTGCCAAACGGCACGCAGCACGACCCACACAAACGTCGACGAGTGCTCTGGAATTACATGTGGATCAGCAGCTCACGTGGAAGGGCGGTGACACTGTGACTCCACTCTTATCTGACGAAAACGTGTCATTCCTGACCATGGCCGTCGATTCTGCCATAGGTTCCTTGAGCTCGCGTTTTGCGCAGTAGCTTCTGAAGCACGACACCACCCCGAAAAGCAGAGCGCTCAAAATCATGGCCATGCCGCTGACGAGGAAGGCTGCCGTGTAGGTGCCTGTGATGTCCACCAGCCAACCTGGCAGAACGGCATAACCAGCAGCGTACACACCGCGGCCACCCGGCAGTTTCAATGGCAAGAACAAAATAATCAAGATTAAGGTGTCATGGCCAAGGCCTTTGTTAACCAACACACTTCACCAACTCTTTCTACCATCTGCCATCTGCCACATCTGCCGCTGCTGCACAGTAGGCATGCTACCTCCAAGATCTGTCATATCAGTATCCCACCATTTGGTCTTAGGTCTCCCCCCTCTCGGTCATCAGACTCGTGGATACCATTGCAGTGTCTGTCTTAGTAAATGGCCCCGCTCCATCCTCACGCACGTCCCACCCAGCACAACCTGTTTTCTTAACGATAACTACACCAATTGCCTGCCATGTGCTCCTCCAGACTTCTGCATTGTTTATCCTGCCTTGCCACCACATTTCTAGAATCCCGTCTCAGATAATTGTGCCCGAATGCCAACAACTTTTTTTTTACTGTTTCCAGTCCATCTCTCTTGCTTCACACAGTTACAGATAGCATGTATGTCTCCTATATAATTTTCTTTACATTCAGACTTACCTCTCACCTCTTCCAAAAGTGATTTCCATAGCCCATCAAACACTAGACCTTTGAAAGCAATGTTCTTCTTTTCCTTCTTGTCAAAGCGCCCTACATTATGGTCATTACTTCCCAAGTATACAATCTTCTCCTGACCTCAACCTTGTCTCCTCTTACAAAGGACTTGTGGTCCTAATACAGAAGTCCCGTTTATAACGACCACCAAGCCTAACGGTTTTACGCAAACAACACATCAAGACCAGTGAACATGTTTGGCACATGAATTCATTCACATTCAGACTAAGATTGGTTCCAACCTCTTTCTTCGTAATGTTCTTTAATATATTTTTGCCTACGACCAAATCACCAAGATAGCACCCGATCTCATCAGATATAAGGAACTAAGCAGGGTTGAGCCAACTGGCGGAGCCAGGTGGGGTGGCACGTGCCCCTCCAATGATCCAATCGAAATCCCTAATTTCAATCGGATCTTTGAGGTTTATTGTAATAAATCGGCATTTTGCGACCCCCACTGCCACTGTGTAGCATATTATTACGTGCCAGGGGACTCTATGAGATGATAGGACAATAGTCAGAGTCCATAATTGGCAATAAGCAACTGCGCACACAATTGTGCGCAGTTGCATATACAGAACAAGACTTCCCTGAAGGCTTAACTTCAGCGAGCGCGATGCCGATCACACACGGTTCGAATTCGACCCTCGATCGATGGCTGCGCCATCGCTGCATACGTGTCGAATAAAAATCAAGGGACAAGTCCTTACTAACAACTCCTATGATTTTTCATTGCTAGAGGGGTTGCCCCCCCTACCTGAAAATCCTGGCGCCGCCATTGGTTGAGCCTGGATAGTGCTCGGAAGGGCGACCACCATGCATAACACAGGTAACTGTAGGCTGATGAAAATGTTAATGTCCTGTATCATGCTTTCACATCTGTGCTATTTGGCTGCGATACATTTCCACGCGATAAGCCACTTAATTAAGCTATCATTCGTGACCAGCAAAAGAGCTATATAGCTTAGTGAGCCTTACGTGGTAAAATAAAAAATAGTTTATTTTAAGTTCGCCCAAGTCACCCAAATCACACCTCACCTGCCACCGGCGGTGCTATCAGGTACGGCACGGCATGCATGAAGAAGACGAGGCCCACGGCGCTGGAGACGTGGACGGGGCCGACCAGGTCGGCTGTCACCACGGAGATGAGGGTCACGTACGCCCCGTCAAAGTAGCCGTAAAGCACGGCGTACACCATGAGCAGCGGGAAGCTGGCCATGAGTGGCAGCAGGAGTGACCACACGCCCTCCAGCCCCACGGCCACCATGTAGAAGAGGCCTCTGTGCTTGCGCACACTCCTGGGAGATGAAGGGGGCACACACGAGAGCACTGTTCGTGACGTCAACGTTTTTATTTATATAATTAGAAGCATCGTTGTTATCCCAAGTGCTGTTCCAATTGTAGAAAGGAAATCGTGTTATGAGAGACATAATTTTTGCAGCTGACATAACAACAGCCTGTGTCAGAGAATTGCTCCAACATTCGACTTCACAGAACTACTTCTGAAGCCACTAACAACTTCTAGCTGCCTTGCAATCGAGCAGGTGGGAAGGGCCAGCAAAAGAGTGAAAGTGTCTCCCTGCTCAAATTAACTTCAAGGTAGCTTCTCTTGGTCCTGGACCAGTGGTGGAAATTCCACATTCCCATGGTAAGGGACAGTCCATAGAATCTCCCCTCATAATGGTACAATTTTACTCATCCGCAAGCAATACTAAAATTGGAACGCTAAATGTACCAACTGCAGACAGTTACTCTGCCTGCAAACATTGATAGCTCTTTTTCGCACCTAACATAAAGCATAGTTGGCTAGGAACGGTTTGAAAGAAGTTCAACATACGTACAGAAGTTCACTGCTGGATGAAGATCTCCCCATGTGGTATCTGACACTGGTCATTGCTGGTTGGTAAAGAAAGGGGGGAGGGACCCGTTTTAGATATCACTCATCACTAATGTTAGCCATGGATGACAATCAAACTCGGGTAATCTGGGCGATTACCGCTGCACCATTCCTCCAGCACACGATGGAACTCTGCGCGATCAACAACCCCCGCCACCGAATCGCACACCACACCAAATGGTGAAACGTCCCCGGTTGCATTCCAACTGCACTCTAGGTGTGGGGGGGGGGACACGTGACGGGTTGGAGAGAGACGGGGGGGGGGGGGGGGGGGCCTCACGGCCTGTCGGTGAGCCAGCCGTAGGAGATGTTCCCGGCGATGTCGACGATTCCCAGCACGGACAGCAGCAGCGCGGCCATGCCCGGCGGGACGCCGTGCGACTGCGCGTACGGCACGAGGTACACGAAGGGCGTGCTGCACCCGTACGCCATGAGCATCACCGACGCCCAGAACACGACGAACTCGCGCTGCACCACGAAGCCGTAGTTGCGCCGCAGCTTGCCGGCTGCATTGACCAGCCGGCCCCACGCCCCCCGCGCGCGCCCTCCGGCTGCGGCGCTGCAGCCGCGGTCGGGCGGCCCCGCCACCGCCACAGTCCACGCCTCCATGCCGGGGTCCGCGCGGAAGACGGGAGGGATGGCCCTCGCGTCGGTGCCGTTGTTGCCGTTCCCCACACTCGGTTCCAATTCGGCCTGGAGAGTGACAGGATTGTCAAGGGCGCCGTTGTTAACACCGCCGCCATCGGGCGTTTTTTTCTCCCTTGGCGTTCTACTTCGCACCACCGATTAGCACGGTTGACTACGTACGGTGTGAAAGAAGTTCAATATACACACATACATATGTTGACTCTTGGTACCACCCAAGGTAGAATGGCCCACGGATTAAGCAATCTCTGATCCACACTAGGGGGCAGCACTTTCCCATCTGTCTCAAGTTTATTGTGATGTTTGCGGAGGCAATGACAAATGGGTTGAGACCATGCATGTATGTATGTGGAACTTCTTTCGCACTATACGTAGCCAACCGTACTAATCGGAGGTCAGGGGAAGGACAACAAACTAAACACAAAAAGCAGTTCTAAAGAAAGTAGTTAATCAACTAGCTATGCTGGAGAAACCAAGTTTTAATCACGGATGACTGCCTGGATTCGAGACTAGGATTTTAGGCAGTGCCAGCTCAGTTCTGACATCTGTGGCCACCCGGCCTCCTCCACGAAGCAACGTTTAAGTCCACTTCCATTGGCCGTGTGCAGAAATCTGCATCACGAAAGTTTTGATGCCCAGCAATGACCAGTGCCACCCCCCCTGCCCGAACCTGCAGATGGATGGGGCGGAGGAGGGCGCCGCAGACGCACAGGTTGGAGACGAACGCCCCGAGCAGCAGCAGAGCCCCGCGCCAGGAGAACACGTCGAGCAGATACTGGACGAGCGGCGCCAGCAGGAACGTTCCCACGCCGCTGCCGGACATGGCGAGGCCCGTGGCGAGCGCCCGCCGCCGCCGGAAGTACTTGGTGACCATGACGATGGACGGGGAGTAGCAAAGTGAGAAGCCAAAGCCTGCGGGGGGGGGGGGGGGGGCATGAGATGTGCGAACTACGGCGGGGTCGTCGAATGACCTTCACGAGCGCAGCGTGCTCGCACACGGCCCTTTTGGTCGATCCGCTGCTGAACGAAGGCCTTTCCCATTTTTCCCATGCTGGTCGAGTCGAGTTTATCTCATTTAACCAGGTGAGAGCTCAGGAGACTGGAATAGTCTCATTTGCAAATGTGACCTGGACCACCGAAATAACAAAAAAGCAAAACAAATCAAATATGTGCGGGATGGTGAAGGCAGGGAACGTGGACAACGTTTGTTGCCATTGTTCTTTAATGACCGAAGGCATCTCTGATAATATTATCAGCGACTTCTGTGTATGACTGTAGCCATGAAGACAAAGCCTTCTCCATCAATACGTGGCGAAGGTGTAGGGAACATATTCTCTGGATTATAAGATGCTTCAAAAAACTAAAATACACCCCAAACGAGGTGCCTGCTGACAAATAAAATTATACACATTTGGTCACACACATGTGCCTAGAAAAGTCAATTATGCACTTTTTATTTAAAATACAGGGAAAGACAGGCTATCTTATAATTCAGAGAATGCGGGAATTGCTCAGATTCGTGCATGACGACATACTACAGCTGGGCTTGAAATTACCTGCGAAAAGGCCCAGGAAGACGTAGAGCATCTCAATGCTGGTGGCAAAGGAGGCCATTATGAACCCCGCGGAGGAGAAGAGACCCCCAGCCATCACTGTGGCACGGCACCCAAAGTGACTGCTAAGGAGGCTCCCAATCGGTGCTGTAAAAAAAACAAATACAGTATACACGTATTGGGTATGTTGTGATAGTCGACAGACAGCAGTGAATTAAAGAAATGTAGTCAGATGAGATAGTGTAGCAAAATAAGTGTAATGTATGTATGCTGAACTTCTTTCACACCGTATGTAGCCACCTATGTTAAATGGATATGTAAACAAGAGATGGCGATGGACTGCGATGAGAGAAGACAGAAGCAGACGAGATAGACATGACAGAGATATTTTTTGTTACGTTAATTCGCTGGTCTCCCTTTTTAGTGTTTTAATTCGAGCTGATGTTTGGTTTACCCCAATATCCGGGGTCAATTGCGCCACTTGGGTCCCCTGTGCTTTTGCTGGGTTTGTTTCTGCCTCGTTCCGCCACTCAGCTGTGGGTCTCCCATCCCTGCCTCATTACCTCCTTTCCATATCAACAAACAGCCACCAATGTTCTTAGACTTAAACCCGCATATTTGCTGGAGAGGGGCCGCAGTTCACCTAATGAAGGGATACTAGAGACAGTTACCATTCCATGTCACAAGTCAAAAACAACTTGGCTGCCCGCTGTAGCTCCAGGGATTTAGAGCATGGGTTGCTGCATTAATGTAGAGGTTGTGCAGCCCCTATTTACTTCCATAATACAGGCGTTATTGGTTAGATCGCCTGAATATATAAATGTGTCGTTAAACCCGCCACCACCTGACACAGCCAATTAGTAAGGTTTGTTACGTAAATAGAACGTGCCAATTCGTCACTAGTACAGCACACCAGTGTGTTTGAGAACTAAGCCACAACATTTACAATCTGAGTACGACGTCTCGCCAGTAATTACAACCGGCATCATCAGCCAGCAGCCAGATTTGTGGACAAATCCTCCTGTTTCGTTCCTTAAATAGAGGGGTAGATGTTGATAACGCCACTTGTGAGCCCTTCTTGAGGGAAGTGGGGGGGGGGGGGGTTAATGAATACAATGGGTTATCCATTGCCCAGTGGGTTATTTGTCAACATACATTATGCATGCATATTAATGTAAGCTCATTGTTATTGTACCTCCTGTCGTTTATGTGCACTAAAATAGCAGTACCTGTTATTGTCTGTTCACAGGTAATCCCCAATCACATGTGTTGACCTGTATAGGCATGTATTTAAACAATGTAGTATTTGATGATGCGCTTCCTTGTTAAACAGTTGCTGAGCACAGGTCCAGAGGCGCAACATGTCAAGCGGGCAGCAACGAAAAGACGCAATCAGTAAGAATGTGAGATATTTGACACACCCGTTTGTTTCAATAACCTGGGGCGCTCCCAAATGCATGTCGCTAATTCCAGGATGATCCTTGGAACCTGGCCTCACAACAGAACGTGAATGTGAACAATGAAAATAGCGTACCACACAGCATGGTAAGGCAGTCCACCATCGAGTTAATCCACGCTGTGGTGGCATAGTCCTTCTGAAAGTGGTTCTGAAACTCCATAAAGAAGATTGAGATGCATCTGCAAACCAGCATCGACAAAAAAACCCACGTTATTCCGGCACGCTGTCTTGACCTTTACGATATAACACAAATAATGAGGTCTGCGCAAACTTAAAACACGTACAACACTATAATTATATAAACTACTGACAGCGTTTCGAGTTCACCAACTGGCATATCCATGTGTGTGTGTATTTCAAGCAGTTTGTCAATCCACTGCTGCGGGGCTATTTGACCATACTTCACCACGCTGGTTAGTTTGCGTTGGTGAAGAAACGGAGCATAGCTGTGGGTGCATAGAAGTACAAACCAACAATTGAATGTTGCTACACTTTTGCTGCCCACCATGTGGGCCCCACAGCCCATAACACCCGTTATGCATGGCGGCCGCCCACCCAAGTAGCATCCAGGCTCAACCCTGCTTATCTTCTGAGATTGGAAGATTTTGAGGGTGATTCTATGCTTGTTTCTGTTAAAGAAAATGTACAGTACATACAAATGTGAACATTGTATGTCACTAAATCAGCACATAAAGCGAGTGAGGATGACGGAGTGACCGACGCTAATAATATCCATCTGCCTGTGAGACAGAGGCATGGAGTTTCCCCCTTTGGAGTCTTTGGGGTCATGGAGTCCAACACATGATGTCTGCCTCTGGCTGACATAACTTTACTGTTTTCAGCCCTGTGTTAATCCACTGCTTGATGACAGCCACACCATGCTGTGTCAGTCATGCAGTTGTTTGATTATATTTCACCAGATTGGTCAGTGTGGGATGGCGACTCAGGACCGGTTCAGACATCACTCGCCACTAATGTTGCTGTGGCCAGGAATCGAAGTCAGGTCGCCAGATTTGCATCGCAAGGTATAGACCACTGAGCCACCTCTCCAGCTCCTGCCTACGTATTTATAACAACTATGAAGAGAGGAGTGGTGGTACAGCAGGTAGTGCACTCTGGCATGAACCTAGCTGCCCACGTTTGATTCCTATACACGTCGAATATCAGTGGTGATTTATATCAGAACCAGTTCTGCACTCCTCCCCTTCACAGACGCTGACAAGGACAGTGAAATATGGTGAAACAACCCCTCATGACTAAAATATATGGGGAAGACCTTCATCCAGCAGTAGACTGACAAAGTAGTGTAAAATAAAACATATATTATTATCCTGAAGCTTGTTAAACTTAGTTTTAACTTGTTTATGGACATTTAAAAATGTCAAAAACTCACCAAGTTAAAACACTTTAATTTATGAACGCAGATCGATTAGTGTCAGCAAAACAATATATTTAAAGACAGACAGCTCTCCATTTATTTTGGTCCCCAGGGATTGAAAGCAGATTCTGAAAAAACTCATTTCAGACTCAAAAGTGAGCACACGTAATAGGCATGCTTTTCAGACAAAAACAGATTTTGGAATTTCAGATGATTTACACTGTTATATATGTACTTGTCTTTGGGCTCACAACTGTGACATCACTTGCCACCACTCGACAACATTTTTAGCAGGAAAACAGCAGAAATTACGTCACATTGTCCAAAACATAACATCTCAACCTGATATTAGATATTTTTGGATTCATATGAAAAATAGGAGTAAAGTACTAAAATATCCGCCACTGGTAATAAGGCATCCACATTTCTAGATGCAGTGCTAATTTCTCTAGAACATTACATATTCAAATATAAGAAGGATCATGATTGAGTGACATGAAAAAGTTTATATCAACACAAATGTGTGTACCTTATTACAGACGCATGGCCCTTTGTGAATACTGTACCGGTTGGGTCATGAAGGTCATTTGACCATACTTCACCGCGCTGGTCAGTGTGGGTTGAAATGGGGAACATAGATGTGGAAGAGAATTAAAAGTACAGTACGACCATGGATTTTGCTACACTGCCTTCTGCTACCAACCACTTATAGCAGTTGCCCATCCAAGCACGATCCAGACTCGACTCTTCTTTGCTTTCGAAATCTGACCTGATTGTGCGCATTTCGGGTGATTTTGGTCATCATTAGTTAATAATATTTTTGTTATTACTAAACATTATCTGTGGCATTTGAAAGATATCAAACTACTATCTCCCCTACATGTTATCATTCTCCATGGTTATCGTGTCCATTTTTATTAAATCTATGACGTTGTTTGTTTAGGGCTTGCCACTGTTATTTTCAGTGTGTGGCCACTTTCTGCTGGTATCATGGTTCGTCCTCATCATCAGCCATGGTCAATCCACTGTTGGATGAAGCCCTCCCCAAGGCACCTCTCAATGTAATAATCCACCCAGCATGCAATGTTTACAAAGGTCAAAGCCCACATGGCCATATTTCAGCAAATTGCAGAGTTATAACACAAATGGATGATGGGCTCAAAGCAGGCAATGCTATGAATATGAAAATTTCAGTTATTATTTATAGAGATATAGTTTGAAAACAACTGAAAAGATATGTTGAATAAAATGTACATCCAAAGATAAAATGCATGACCAGTTCAATATTATAAATAATTAGTCTAAAATAGATTGGCTTGCCCAACCTGTTTTATGTCTGGCCCTATTCATAAGCAGTGCCCAGCAACAGTGTGACTCGTCGTAGCCAATGACCCACTGCTCGTGTGGCACGGGATACCATGCATATTTTTGTAATGCAGAATTTGTGAAGGGGACATTTGGAAAGTGAAACCTACATTGGGGTTCTTCAGTAAGCGATACTCAACAAGCTCGGCCACCCAAAAATATGATTTACACTGCTGGAAATATACTTTTTTAGATGCTACATTCTCACTTTGCTTAATCTGGCAATGTTAACGTATGAAGAAGAATGAAGTGACAATGAAATATTTAACCTGCATGACCCATGTGGTGTGAGGGTAGGCCCTAGTCCAGCAGTGGATGAGTACAACGGCTGTGCTGTGCATCTCCACTTTGTTTTAGATTCGATGCCAATGCTCTGCAGGTTTATTTTAAACTTGGGAGATAGATTTCTGCTTTTGGACACACTTTGCAGATTTCTTTAACTGACTGCGTTCATATTATTTAAGTTGTGTTATTTATGTTGTCATTTAGATTGCTGAAATGTTTGCTCACGAGATATCTAACAAACGAGGCAGTTGAAGCCAACACGGTTCCAAAATTATGAATGATACAGAAATTGTGTACACCAAGCAGCTCTAAGCAGCACTTCAATGACAAGCAACCCATTGGTCCTCTTGTCTTGCACATTCGGTGACACTCACACAAGCTGCTGAGCTAACGTGGCAGTGATCCTTTACATGCGTTGAGGTCAAGTCCACCGCTTATTGCATAGAAGGGTTGGAAATACTTAACTGTGCCGTTGAACAAATTGACAAATCTTCCGCAAATTCCTAACTGTCGTGGACAGCCAGGTCTATAAAAAGAGTTGCAGTTATATTGGGGAGACTGTAGCCTCAGACTCAAGTTCTTGATGGACTTGCCCAGCGACGTGAATGGGCTGTGAAACTCACGCAGAATCATGTGCTGTGCGCGGTGGAGATATGTTAACAGCCTCGCCTGGTTTACAGGAGTTCGTGGGTTCGATCCCGATCCTGATGGCTGTATGTTTTTATGCACATGGCTGCATGGGACAAAAGGTACTACAGCTGTAGTGGGATTCAGGATTGGAAAGAATCAAGTGGTTTCTTGCACCGCAACCACTTGATTGAAAACAGCAGAAATGACGTCACATCGTGGGCACGGTTCTTGCACATGTACCACCCGCGGATTGTGGGGGTGGGGATGTGAATACGGGGCGAGTGGCGGCAGCTGTAGAACAGAGGGGGGCACGACGACTCTTAAGTTATCGGATGCCCAACGAGGCAGGCTGCGCGCGCTTCTCTTCGAATTTTCTGAAGTTTTTAGCAAGGGGAAGTATGACATCGGTCGCACATCCCTGTTGCAGCATCGTATTGATATGGGGAGCGCTGCCCCCATTTGTCAAAACCCCTATAGGTTAGGCCCCAAGGAGAAAGATCACGTGCGTGTCACGGTCGACGAGATGTTGGCCACAGACATTATTTCCCCATCCAATAGCCCGTGGGGGGGCCCCATAGTACTTGTGAAACAACAGCACAGAAGTCTATGGTTTTGTGCTGATTTTCGCAAGCTTAACAAACTGTGTCAGTTGCTCACGCGTATCCACTCCCTAGAATGGATGCTTCTTTGGATGCTCTATCTGGGGCGTGTTGTTTTTCCACTCTCGATTTATTGTCCGGACTTTGGCAGCTACCGTTGGATGACGATTTTAGGCTAAGACGGCATTCCGTACGCCACAAGGGTTGTTTGAATTTAATCGGCTTCCAATGGGGCTCCACTCAGCCCCAGCTACATTCCAACGTCTTATGGAACTGGTGTTGGCTGGACTCCAATGGGACGCTTGCCTAATATACCTTGATGATGTGATTGTCTTTGGTCGTACACTTAGACAGATTGCGTGCCGTTTTCCTGTAAATGCGGGCGGCAAACCTCAAATTCAAGCCACAAAAATGTAATCTCTTGCAACGATCGGTGTGATACCTCAGCCACATTGACAGTGAGTCAGGGCTAGCGACGGACCCAGAAACAATTGCTTGCGTTCGGACCTGGCCAACGCCCAAGTCGGTGGGCGACGTGCGAAATTTCATTCGGTTCGCTTCCTATTATCGTCGCTTTGTGCCGAGTTTCACCACCGTTGCAAAGCCACTCCAAGTTGTTACCTCCAAAGGACAAAAATTTCTATGGGGGAAGGAGGTGGCCGCGTTCGTCATGTTGCGTGACGGCCTGGTGAACGCCCCTCCCCTCCACTACCCCGATTTTTCTCTACCCTTCATCCTAGACACGGATGTGAGCAACACTGGGATTGGTGCTGTGTTGTCTCAAGTGTTAAACGACGTGGAGTGTGTGGTTGCCTACGAGAGTTGGGTACTGTCTCCAACCGAGCAACGCTACTGTATAACGCGCCGGGAACTGCTGGCCATCGTCCATGTCATCCAGCAGTACCATCCGTACCTGTACGGTTTACGGTTTGAGGTGCGCTCAGACCACGCTGCTCTACAGTACGCGTTGCGGGTTGAGCAGCCGTCAGGCCAGCTCTCCAGGTGGTTGGAGGTCCTCCAGGACTACTACTTTAGTGTTGTGTACAGAAAGGGATCTCGCCACGTTAACGCCGACGCTTTGTCGCGGCTGCCATCGAGCGAGCGCTGTGCATGCCTTACGGGGTCTGATAATAGGGCACCGCGGTGGAGAGATGTTAAACCTGGTATGCAGGAGGTTGTGGGTTTGATCCTGACCCTGACGAACGTGTAGTGACATCGCTGGTTGTCACCATGTTGTGGGTGTAGTACCGACTCTAGAGGGGCACGGTGTGCGTTGAGTTACAGCGCTGGATGGCACCAGGCTGTAAGTGCAGTGCCGGCCCTACAGGACACAGTGTGTGGGTGCCGACCAAAGGGGAAGGTCGTGTGAGGCCATGGCACTCTGGCTAGAGGGGTCACGTGATAGGGACCCAGGTCCTTCCCGATGGTTCTGGAAGGTGGACGTGGCCAAGGGCGGAGCCGGCCACGCCGCAGAGAATATCAGCTGAGTCCCGAGAGGGACCAGGGTTGTTCATCCTGGGAAAAGGACCCTTCGTCTACGATCTCCGTTCTACGAGTCTTCCAGCACATGGACCCGGGCAGATGCTGTTGGTCCCCGGTCCGTAGTAACAGTTACATGGTAACTAGTGTAGTAACAAGTGTAGTAACTAGTGTAGTAACTAGTGTAGTAACTAGTGTAGTAACTAGCGTAGTAACTAGTGTAGTTAGCTGGGTGGTCATCGCCCGAGGTTGTTATTTTGTTAAGGGGAAGTTACCCCGTGTGTTGGAACTAAATAAATGCGCTGCCTCCATAGTCTACGTCTGCGACTCAGTTGAACCCACTTCACCTGTATTTTTAGAGTTTGCATGTCTCTCTCCCCGTGGTCGTGTGGATTTTTCTCCGGGTCCTCCGGTTTTTTCCTCCAAATTTAGAATCAACGTCCTATAAATTTGCACGTGATAAGCCAATTTGTTGGGCTATCGTTTGTGGCTAGGTCGCTTCTGAAAAAGAGCATTACAGCTTAGTGGGCCTTACCTGATAAATTTAAAAATATATAGTATAGTTTTAGCATAGCTGGTAATGAAGACGTGGACATGACATCGAAACAATAACAACGATGGTAGCGCGCCGGTGCTCGTTGGCAACTGCGGTCGCGACGTGGTATGATGTGCCCACCTGGTGACAGCGCGCGTGCAGACGTTGACGATGAAGCAGGCGAGGACCACCATCCAGCCCCACCCCCCATCAGGGGGCTGCGGCAGCACCGACCCTCGGCCCCGCATGCTCGCTCAGTGCCGCGGCCGCCGTCCGCGTCTGATCAGCGCCACCACCGCCCCTCGCACTTCTCCACTGGGGTTCAGTGCCGCTTGGACTCGCGCGACATTGCTGCGGCCCTGAGCCCTGCGGGGAAAAAGGGAAGACAAAATGTTTGCATCTTATGAAATAACATTTCCTTTTTTTCAGAATTATACGTACATTTGCCACAATTTTATCCCAATTGTGCTCTAGGTATCATGACACGAGACAAGATATTAATACGAGTCTCTCACAGAACTGTCCTCTGAGATTCCTTCCAATGAACTCTGTTGACATAGTCAGCACTTTCCCACCCGCTTCGAATGAGAGTCAAACCAATGTTATATTTCTATATTACATTTAGAACCAAATTAATGTGATGAGGTTTTTTTTGTGCAGTCACTGGTGACCTGGTTAAATCACAGGCAATTTCCTGGATTTGAACCCAGGATCTTAGCGGTTCCGAACACAGCCATCTGACCTCGGAGCTACCCTGCCTACACACAAAATTAAATTTAAAAAATTACCATCAAAATAGTAATAATAGGTCCATTCGATCTTTCTCTCCCCTGGCCGCTTCGGGGTGGATTTCCACACAACTCTCTCATTGACATGCTAATTTCTCTGCTCCAGCAGACCCACCTCTCTCTCTCTCTATTTAAGGCCACGACACAGAGGCATTGGGTCTCTGTGTGTCTATGTGTTGTCTCTCTCTGCTTGTGTGTCTGTCTGTGTGTCTCCGTCTCTGTGTTTTGTCTCTCTCTCAAGTTTAGTTCTACCTGATGATAACTGCTTGTGTTGCAATCGAAATGTCGTATTTTATTATTTTACTTATTTTCTTTCTACGTGACTTTACCTAAAGAACCAAAGAATAATTCCTGCAGTCACGAAAGTCTCAAATCAAGTAATAATAATTTATAGCCCGACGTTATCACAATGCTGGGTGAAGGCTTTCAAACATTATGTTGGCATTTGAGGTTGTAGGGACATACTTCACCACACTGGTTAATGCAGCTAGGTGAAAAAATGGCCCAGGATCTATTCTTTTATCACTCGCCACTGATGTTAGCGACACTCAGGTCGCTGGGGTTTAGGCAGCCATGTGTTAACCAATGCCTCACTGCTCCACCCTTTAAAACATCAATTTCACTTTAAAAAAAGCCACATTGCATGCCTGCTACTGTGTCAGTTACAAGGGTCTTGACAGTTCAACCCTCGTTCCACTCAGCGATTTTACAAGGTGGCATTAAATCATACAATCTGCTCCAAGGTTATACGCGTTCAAGATAATGCATCTTAATTTGCAAGCCAAAACCATCATACAATGACTCACGTGCAAAAAAAACCCTTACTTTAGTCGGCATGATGAGTGTGATTACAATTTTAAAATCTATCATAAAAATTAACACGAGATAAATGTGTTCCCAAGAAAGGAATTGATATTGTGCGTGTGATTCTGGATACTGCTGTGGTGTAAGTGTAGTGAGTTCAATTGAGTCGCAGACGTATACTTGGAGGCAACACATTTTTTGAAACTCCAACACACGGGGTAACTTCCCCTTAACAGAATAACAACCTGTGGTGGTGACCACCAGGCTAACCACACTAATTACAACGTAACTAGGTACTACGGACCAGGACCACAGCTCGGTTCCAGGTTGAGTCTTGATATTCATTCTAAGCCAAGGCAGTCAAGAAAAGATACATAATGTACAAGAGTACGTCCACTGTGGAGATGGAGCGATGAAAGCAGCTCATGTGCAGATGCTAGGTGGATTACCACATCGCAGAACTGTAAGAGATGGAGACTTGGGAAGGCCTGCATCTAGGAGTGGATTCATCATGGTTGATGATGATGATGGTGTTTGCACTCAAATGAGCAGGACTGGGTGGGCTTGGTGTTCAACTGTTGGCAGCCTTAACACAGTGGAAATAAATTCCACTTTGCTGTCAGTCCGGCCTATCTCTCCCATAAGAAGATCACTGCAAATGTAACCACATGCAGTATATTTAACCATAATGGATGTACAACAATGCTATATTCGTCAAATATGCTTTCAGTTCAAGAACACAACTTGTTAAAAATTACTTATGTAAGTAAAAAAGATGTTTAAAATGTCCTCTACAGAGCACAGTACTGCAAGTTGTAATCCACAGTTGACTGAGCTCCTTACACCAAACTTCAGTTTATGTTTTAATGAGTACAGTAGTAAACTTTCCACTTTATATGTATTTGTGTTTTGTCTATTTTCTCCATTTTATTACAATTGTGTTGTTGGCAAAATGAGGAATTAGCATGTAACTGGTCACGGAAGTGGCTATGTTAAAGTCAGAGTTTACATATCAACAGAGGCATTTAGTATTTTTACGCTAAAGAACTGCAACCACCCACTATCATACATGCCAATCTCCCAGTTACATGCTAATTTCTGACTTTAACATCCTGCTAATTCTCTCACATTAACACAGCTTATTCAATGCTAAATTCTTCTGTTGACATGTAAACTCCTTTGTCAAGGCACTCTTCTCCTCCCACCCAGCTTAAAATACGCTGCCAAGCTTAGCAGTGTTCATTGGAGCGCTGTCTCTCAGACAGCTCTGTCTTCACCTGAGGACGGCTGCTTGTGTTGTGGCCGAAACGTCGTGAGAATTTTATTTTATTATGTTTTATTTTTTATTATTTCCCTTCTACGTGACTTTACCGACAGAACCAAGAAGATGTGAAGAACCACAATGCACTGCGTGGCGAGCACGAGACGGTGGCCCTGAATAACGTCACGACGCAGTCCTCCAAGAGTCGCACCTTGCCGACCGCTGCCATGAAATAGACTTCAGAGGGCTCATTTTGTTATTTGAAGTTGCTTATGAACATATTAAAGCATTGTCAGTAAAACATAACATTTCTTATTTTTTCAGCAAACAAAAACTACATTTTAAACCAGTCAAGATAATTTCTCAATGCTTTATTCCAATACAATTTAAGAATGTGTGTAGCGTCACGAATGTGCTGTGGTGTAGCTTAATTGGTCTTGCAGTCTGGGTCGTCAGTTGAAACAGTGGTTGCAAGTTTCTTGCATCACCCCCCCGTGTACACCACAGTGAGTGGATCGGCAGGTCGTGTGTGGTGGGGAAAAGTGTTGGTAACCCCTACCTCTTCCAAGATGTCCTACCAGCTTGAAAAGTGGCATTAGACAGCGATATTTATATAATAGGATGTGCAGGACATATATGTGGTGATTATTATTTCTTTATTTAACCAGGAATTACAATTTTTTAAGAGGGTCCTGCTAAGTTGCACTGTTAGGGGCAATTTTGCTACGAGCTTTCCTCAGTTGAGTAATTTTTCTAATTTGTCAAATTAGACCATGATGCTGGCACAAATGGTCTACTTTTTTTTATAACATCACGAGATCATTAATGCCCACTGTGAAGCAGACGGCACTCGTTCTGGTTAATATAACTCGCAGTATTAACTAGGGCAGCTGTGGGCTTGAACTATGAACGTCTGCAACGAGCGGCAAACACGCTACCCACTCGGCCGTGTCTCCGGAGTTCTTTAAAGTTCGATTTGGCACGCCGATTTCAATTCTGCAAATCAGTATCTAAAGCATACCTAGCCTGAGCCACTCCTGCCAATGAATCACACCACTTCACACTAACAGTTGAGAAAACTGCCAAATATTACCAGTCTCGCATGCACATAAAAAGATAAAAAAGCAGCGTCTGCAGAAAAGAATTGCAAGTGTTTATGAAATGCCACGTGTCCTGCTGGGTGAATGGTGGCTAGAATAAAGCACACAGAGTCAAGTGGGCAATTATGCATCTTGTGAATCGAAATGTTCTAAGTTTGTACAACACCGCAGGCGTCTATGGCCAAATCACCTGGAATGCATCTGTGGCCAAATCACCTGGAATGCATCTAATCTCATCAGCCCATAGAAACTCAGCAGTTTGAGCCTGGCTCGCTCGTGCAAAGAGCGACCACAGGGCGTCAACCAGGAGCTGTGAGCCTGCTGTGGGGCTACGTAGTCACCAGGCGGCAGTAGAGTAAGATCCGTTGTATTGTACTGTACTATGCTCCCTGCACACTCACCATTATGAAGTATGGTACAATAATCCCCATAATCCACATGACGTAGAGGCTCTCATCCAGCAGAGGATTGGAAAGAGAGCCGTACATGTACAGTATTACGTACACAACACTGTAATTTATCACAGGACCACCACAAACTACCGGATAGATTTAAAGTCACTGGGTACACCTATAAGCTTATTTCTATTAAAAAACGGCTCTATTTTTGCAACCTATGGTTGCTCCAGCCGTTGAGTTTCGCCAACATTTAGAAAGCACACCACCTGCAGAAAAAAGTTGTGACGACAAGCTTCATTTAGACACTTTAATTATGATTATCACCTATCCCTTTAACAGCAGTGGTCGTGATAGAATTAACTATAGAGTGGATGCCTCGGATTTCAACTCTCTCCATGTTTGCCTGCCCTTTGCAGTCTTTGTCAGCTGCTTTGACCGCTTATCAGTCCACGTTATCACACTTGCCATCCAATTGATCTTCGGTCATCCTCCCCTGCTTTTTCTGTATACCATGCCCTCCAAGATTATGTCAAACAGCCCCCCCCACCACCCCATTTATTTGTCACATGTCAAATACATTTGTAGTTTTATTTTATTCACCAAGACATTTTCAGGGGAATATTAATAACAGGCTCACATTGCAGCCTCAACTTTGGCTATCTCAGTCCCAATAGAATAGAGTTGTTGTTTTTTCCAGAAAACCTTGGCAATGCTGAATTTGTCCAAACAGCATTTTACTCTGTTGGCTGTACTCTCAGCAACATTTCCGGAGCACTAACGGTTGGCACGAGCTGGTTGCAATGGAAAATTAAGGAAAAGCAAAGGGATCAATGCAGCTGTTGTTTCATCCAAAGAAATGAAGCGGAAATGGGCAGGACGTGTCTTGAGAACAACTGACGGGAGATGAGAAACGAAACTTCACTGTTGAGTTTGCGACCTCGAGAGGGAAAGAGAAGCAGAGGAAGGCAGAGGAAGAGACGACGGCAGTGGGGTCACATCGCGGTGTTGCGGAGGG